TATTTCATCAAAAGCACAAGTTGGCGAATTCCAAGAAACAATTGCGTTGCCACTCGCGTTGCAGCTCTGCACCAATGCCAAATTTTTAATATAAGCTGCAAATAAGCAAAAGTTTTGATTGAACAATAAAGTTAAAAACGAATCTGTGATAACTTCATTGCAATTCAGTTAGTACTGAAGAACTTTTAGATGATTGGATAAAATTTTGACTGAGAAATTCTTGAGAGAATTACATTTAGAGGCCATAGAACTGAGGAAAGGATTAAAATCTTTAGAGAAATCATTGTAAATAGATTTTACAATTAAAAACGAATCAAAGATGGAACGATTATGCACATGAAATAAGTAAATTAAAAAAATGTATCTTTAGATTGTTAGGAAATATTTTACAAAGATTCGAACCACATGAGAAAGGGACAGCAGCATCTATATCCTCGAAGTAGTTGCATATATCTAATGAAAAGGAGAGAATAAAATATATCAGTGAAAAGAAACAAATTTCACGTGATATTATTGCCAGCAGAGAATTTTGTATAAGATTTGATTTGTTATTTCAATGATTGTACCAAAATGGATGGAAAAGTTTTGAATCTTTTCTTTTATACTTTCGGATGCTTAAAAGAAATTATAATATACGTATCACGTACAAAGCAAGGTATTTGATCTAGAAAAAGTAACACCCACTTATAATAGAAAATATTTAAACAAAATAAATTCAAAAAGCAATATTTCTTCCTTAAACTAAAAAGTAGATATCTAAATCTTGACTCTTGACAAAAAGTTTGAATCCAAATTGAAAATACACCAGTAAAGAAAGACTAGATGACCTTGCATCCTTCACTATTGTGAGTGACATGTATTTGAGTAGCTTTGTTGTAGTTTAAAATTTTAAACTATAAAAAAAGAAATACTAACCCGGTGATGTAATCAAGCTTTCAATACTGTTTCTCATTCCACGGCTCCTTTTGGGCAAACTTGTGACAACAGCGAAATAGCATCGATCAAACCCTATACCCTTAAAGGTGAAATTTCTGTAGAATGCCTCCTGAAATAACAAAATGATACTGAAAGTTTACCAGTGAGTTAATTCAATTCAAGTATGTTTAATAAAAAGGCTGCTCGTTCACAAATAATAGATCAGAATTATCTGCTTGCCTGGACATCGAAACTCTCTGCATTGTCCATTGGTTTGGGATAAACATCCTTTATATTCAGAATCATATATGCTAAAGCTTAGCCCTTGAGTTCCAAAAAAGAAGCTAGTTTGCACTTTACTTTGATAGCACTAATTAATTAAACATGAAAAAACTAATTATTCCAAACAAAATATAGCGTCCGCAAATCTGATTCTTACGGAAATTTATGTTCTTTACTCCTACTACTTCTCATGAGTATCCTTCTAAAGAATCGCAATTTACAAACCTTTCCACTGACTTGATGGCAACGTTCCATACTATGGTGACTGTCACTGAGAATGACGTCATAGCCCCATAATGTGCTTTCACCTGAAAGAATAAGAAATGCATGTAAGGAACAAAAATAACTCGAACAATAAGCGCGGTCGGCCTACATGACTGACATAAAGAAAGACAGGAGATGGAATTGTTTGTTTGTACATCGGGACTCTTTTCGAATGGTGAGATAAACGAATCATGTAAAGAAAAGGAGGTAAATAGAAAGTTTGGTAAGCTAACGCTATGGACAGTCCAAATAGCTCAAAAAACAATTTTTCATATTCTATTCTAGATAACCAAAAATCCCCAGCACAAAAAATATGATGACGCATATGCAAGATGATGTCAATAAAGAGTTCAGGGGCGTCGTGGCCGGGGGCTGGATTAAATAAGAAGTGAAACGAATCTTTTAGCGACATAAATTACTTGGACTAAAAAGTACCTACCGGAATTTCGAAAGGCAATTCACTTTTTTAAAGAAAATACTAGATTTCCACAAAAACAAAATGATTTCTCAGGATTTACCAATTTCTACCATAGAGTCATTTCCTGCTCGGATTTCGTCAGTTAAAATCCAAATCTTCCAGGGCCAAATTTGGTTCCGGAGATTTGCAATATTTGTCATAAATTGTATCTTTATTTGATATTGAAGACCGGAACAGTGGCAATTTTGTGCCTATCACCAAGTTTGAAAATTTTGTCCCAGATTTGAAAATTTATGCAGTTATGTCAGCCTCATGTTTCTTCATAAGGTAAAACAAGGAAGAAGTCGATCAATACCATCGCTTTCTGTCAGTGGATATTCAATTTAAGAATACAATTTTGCTATCAAAATTTGCTCCAAAAAATGCACTTTCAGGCGAACTTGGAGCATTAAAATTATAAAATTTTTTTTCCATCGGCGGCAACCATGGTGCCGTCTCAGGTAGTAACTTTATTCTACCCTTGTCCTAATCTACTGATCTATAAGGTTGCAAGATGTCAGGAACTTTCACACAAGAAACAGAGACAAGATAAATGTGCAAATATCTTTCCAGCTAAGGCAAAGGTTATATACTTCTCTCTCCCCCCCCCTTACACTTACATGAAATACTTTTATTTGATTAACATAATTCACAAAAATTCTGTCGGAAAACTTTTCTTTCTGGCCCCCTCTAGAATTCATTTGCCACTACGCCCCTGAAAGAGTTCTGTGCAAAAGCATTCAAAATTAGAAAGTTGTTTAAGCCTTGTTGTTTGAAGAAGCATAATGGGTTAACGCAAAAAAGCCAAACAATTATAGAGTTTCAATGTGAGATTCAAACCTGAAGGCTCGGCCTAAATAAGGGAGCAAAGGTACTTTATTATCCTCGTGTTTCTTCATAGTTCTTACGGCAAAATTTTACTTTTGTATGCTACAGCTGGCCATCACTACGATGGGGGTGGGGTGTGACACACCCATTGGAAAAAATTACATCTTAAAAATGAGGAGTTTTTTTCATGTACAGGTGTTTAGTCAGCATACTTTCAGACTTGTCGGCAAATAAAGGATGCTTCACCCATTTTGTCGGCAAATGTGGTCTGAACCGATCATCATCGAAATCGACATGGAGCCGATCATGACTAGTGACCGCCTTGAATGCAACAAAGAATGGCCACCCGATTGACTAATCTATAATTTGCGTTGCATTCCTTCCCATTCAGTACACTGTTATAAAGGAAATATACTACAGTCTGACAATCATTGGGGTCCAATAATTGGGGTCCGGTTTCAATAGGCCTGAATACAATGTTTTGTTTTACATGTAACAAGAACATGTTGACAATGATATGTTGAACAACTTTGATACGATAACTTTGAGACAAAATGCAGTGCATCTGAACAACTGGGCGAAATGAAAAGAGTATTGAGACAGGCAGGGCCGTCGCCAGTAACGGCGACACGTCCCCCCCCCCCAGTTCTCGGCAGGATCAATTTTGAATTTCGTCTAAATCCGATGAAAAAATGTTGGGGGAGGGGTAATATTGTGGCAACGTACCTTTTTTGATGTCATCCTTTGATTTTCAAACTGCTTTTACATAGCCAACAGTTAGTTATGGGCATTCCTTTCAGGTAAAATTGGCTTTCCTTGTTTGTGAAAGCGCGTTTTCTAGTGCTAAAAGGGCGTGGCCAAATACTTTTGTTTTGATTTGCCGACGGTATAACAGATTTGCCGACGGTAGACCAGATATGCCGATGGTAAACCAGATTTGCCGACAAAATATTTTCCAGGGGGGCCCTACGGGCCTGGAGACAGGAACACCAACATAAGCTTGTCTTAAGTCTTGACCCAACTAAGCAGCCATTGAAATATTTTCTGGCCTAACCAAGAAGATTAATGAAGGATGTTAGCCACATGTTTCTATCCATTTGAAACATTTGAAACAACTAAGCATTTGAAACTAGCTCGAGGAATCTTTTGAGCCGTGTCAGCAGCAAAAAGACATAGTATTAGTGTGGAACTTTGATTTTTTATGTTTTCATTGACGCTCCTCATGATGCAAATATGATTTAAACTTTGCTTCTGCAAAGAAGGCATAAGTAGCAAAAACTTTGGCTAAACGAATCTTATAATCATTTTTTCCGTTACTGGAAGCATTAAAAAGGTTGCGATCCTAGTACAAAAAGGCAACTAAAAAGCTCTCGGAAATCGAAGCATTTGAAATTAAGGCCGTCAACTAAGCAAGTATAAAAGAGAAGAGTTCCTGAAATAGACTTACCATATTCGGGTTTATCCCAGCTGATTACCAAGTCGAGGAGCTGGGAATTTTGGTGAAATATGAAGGAATGTCGTAAATCTCGTGGAGGACTAGGAAAGGATTTACATCTTTTCTTGTATGCGTTGAAATGGAGAGCAGCACGGCAAGTGTGTACTGAAACAAAATCCATCGATGATATCTTAGTTGTTTCATTAAAAAAAGGAAATATATTTGAATATAGCCATAGAATATAGGGTATTTGGATAAAATCAGTAATTGATGATTTCAATACAAAGAAGTCAACTGAAATTGAAAGCAAAATAAAGAAACACAAAAAAACTTGAAGGCTGCAAACCTTGAGGAACTTTGAACAAAGGCCTGCCGCATTCTAAAAGGAAGATAATTACATGCTTAAATCAAAATTCAAGAGAATACTTTAAACACCCCTAAATGGAAATCTTCTAAAATATAATGAAGATTACTGTCTGATACCGTAAATCCTCGAATTGGCATATCCCTCGAAAAAGCCCTCCCCCTCGAATAAGACCCTACACTAGAACTACAAATTGTCAATAAGCCCCCCTCTCAAAAAAGCCCCCAGTGCTACCGTAAATTCTCGAATTGGACGCCTCCATTTGATGATTTTTGCCATCTGAGATTGTCTATGGTGTTTTATTGAATTACCACAACAAATCCATACTTTTGGTAAAAATTAGGTAAATGCTCATAAGGAAATTCATACTAAAATAAACGAGGTCTTTTAATAATATCTTCTTAACGTCCGCAATAATTTTATAAGCCCCCCCTCCTCGTATAAGCCCCCCCCAAATAAGTCCCTAATCAAAAATATCAAAAATAAATAAGCCCCCAGGGGGCTAATTCGAGGATTTACGGTAATCACAGTAGGCGTGAAACTCTGAGTAGCAACTGAAAACCTTCCTGTTCCGTACGGCGAACAGTTTATAAAACAATGAGCAATTTAACCGGGTGGTTGCAGGAAATTTTTTTCTGGATAAAGTTCTGCAGAGAACTTTTTTAATTTGTAAGAAGAACCTTTGTTTTTAATATTCGTCAGAGGAAAACACATGATGATAAAAGCAATATATGTTATGTTAATGCCTTTTAAAGGCGGAAATGTTTATTTTCTTTTTTCCATTTTTTTACAAAAAAAATGGTTTCCCTGCCTTAGAGCCCCTGACATTGTCTTTGAAAAGTTTTTTTTGACAAAGATTTCCAGTATTTTATCTGGCTTAAGAATCCTCATTATGACTTGCAAAATTCTGGAAAATTCTTGAAAAATCTTACTATTTTGACCCGCCCAGGGGCTTTACTGTAAATTGCATATCACAGTGATTTTCACAGGTTAAAAACATTCCCTCTTATGATTTTCGTAATCGACCTTGTCACAGGGGTCTGACTAATATCTCCAAAAATTGTTAAAAACTTCCATAAATAAAAGAACGTCATATCAGGATCAATCTTGAATTCTATTTATTCTATACCTGCCTCCATCACCCAAAGAAAACAGCTACCTCAATTTAATTTGCATTTGTGCTAATTACCTGCATTTTAGTTTTATTTTCTGACAGCAAATGTTCTCACAAGTTAGAATGTTAGTATTATGGCTAAGCCTGGATTCGAAATAAATTTGGGCACTTTTAGCAAAAACGAAACTGTTAACTTATATTAGGCCACCAGCACGTGAACTCATACATGGTTTTAATGAATCAATGCTAGCAAAAAGAGATGTAATCAGTAGCGTCGATAGGGAGGCTCTGCCGGTACCCCATGGATCTGTGCTCAAAGCTAAGGTGTTTTTCTCTTTTTTTAAGATAATGCATCATTCAGGTGAGGCTTTCTTCAGCAAAAGCCCCAAAAGGCCTGAAATTAAATGTTTAAGTATTTGAAAGTAAATCTTATCTGTTTATGTTTAAAACATCTTTTTGACTATCTTGGACTTAAGCTACCGAAGTGGGTCCGTCAAAACGACAAAGAATGATGGCTGTGCTGAGGTATTGAAAGTGATTTTGCTAAAAAGATTCACTTAGTGATGTTATCGACACTTTTACCTTAAAAAGCTCGTAAAGTGGTACTGTCAAGGTTTTGAATATTAATGGATAACAGTTCGAAGCAAATATATCAGGGATAAAGGGGCTGAGAAGTTGCCTCAGTTTCACTACGAAGCTAATTTTTTTGTCTTAATATGTAATACCACATTCATACCTATTTTGTATAAATAGGACCCCAGTCTGAAGGCTCGTGTGAAAGATTTCGAAGAGATAAACATTTTGAACACGCCGTATAAAGCCCGTGTTAGCCTTCCAGGAACGAAAACAGGGGGTGACCCAAACAATCTTTGCGTCTTCGGTGCAAATTAGGGGCCCATCCAGGCTTTTGTCCCGGGGCCTGTCCCGCGCCTAGCGGTGGCCCTAGATATCGTACCGCCGTTAGGAATCAAGGATTATATCCCGGATTCCCCCTCTCCCTCCCCCTTTAGCAGAATCAAAACATTTTACTGTACCGTCGGTTTTCCATATATCTTCTTCAACCGTTCTATTATTCTACAAAACAAAATAGAAATATTATGAGCATCTAAGCATTCGAATAATCTTAAAACTTCCTCACACCAAAACTGCTTACATCAGTCATTTCGTTACCAACACGTCAAAAACTTGAAAAATTTGCTAAATGATAACTCTTTTGGTGTTCAAGTAATTTAACAAGAACACAGAAACATAAAATTCATAACTCCTAATGTTCATGAAGATCTCAAATTTGCTAACGGACTTCAGACATGCCTTAAAAACAATTTTTAAGGCTTTTTAAAAAAACTCGTACGACAGCGAGGGACTTGATTTGTCTTCAAACAGGAACTGACTTCGACAGTACACTGTTAATTCGATGTCCTCTTATCGAGACGCGGCAAGATCAATATTCAATATAAATATTCGTTAATAATAATGGAAACATTTTGGAAACATTTCATTTTCAATTCAACTTAAACTACAATTACAAATCTCACTATTACGAGGTAATTTGCAATTGGCTTGCCTGGTTTTACAAGAAAATACTATAACAATCGTAAGTGAAAGGAAAAACTGAGAAAAATAAAACAACCAAAATAAAAACGGATGTAATTCCGGATTTGTCCATGGTTTATTTTTGCAACAAAATATGTAGAACGTAGTACGGATGGCAATGTTCGAAAGTTTAGAGATGAGATACCGTTTTTGTTGTTGATCGATGGAGAGAGAGTCACACATAATAATAATAATAATAATAATAATAATAATAATAATAATAATAATAATAATAATAATAATAATAATAATAATAATAATAATAATAATAATAATGAATGGTGCAGAGTTTGATCTCAGATGTTTACTGTTTTCTTTTAATGATATGTCAATATATGCTGTTTTGTTATGATCTGTTATATAATTAAAAGCCAGCTTCACAAGGTGCCATTTTCGTCTCTCTTTCATAGGTAACCAGCCTAATGATATGATATCCTATTCTTTAACGTAACGGCCTAAAACAAAACTTGCAGCTGCATTCTCCACCTTTTGTAGTCGTTTTTGTAGTTTTAATGAAAGAGGATAAAATACGACATCGGTATAATCCATTTTGGATAATATTAGCAACTCAGCAACTTGCTTTTTCAGTTTTAGTGTCATGATATTTTTTAATTATTTTACTATGGCAAGAGCTCCAAAACAGGATGATGTTATCTTGTTTATTTGCTCTTCCCACAAAAGATGCTGGTCTAAGATAACACCTAGTAATTTTGCTGACTTTTCATGTTATGTTAATAAAGACTTGGCACTATTAGTCTAATAATCAAACATCAAATTAAAATTGTAATATCAAGATACTTCGATAAAGCTTGAGTCGACGTGTAGTAACGAGTAGTGTACGGGCAATTGTGTGGGTTTCTAGATATTTGCTATAGAGGAAAATCAATAGCATATACCACTACAGGTTTATCAACTTCTACAAACCTTGCTAGCATCAGGTAAAACAAACTTTAAACAGAAATTCAGTGTAAATACCACAGCCAACTTCATTAATGCAAAAAAATAACACAGCCAGCTTCATGAATGCGATCAGGTTGTTGAAGTGACATTAGGAAACGATTTCTACAAGATTTTCCGCGCCACGAAGCCTGAATACACTGTGACGCAGATGGGTGCTGCTAAACAGCGGAACAAAATAGTTTCTAGGCAACAACAGTTCGTGAACAAACATACCAGTTATCGTTTTGTCACTGAAATACAAAGTAATATAGTACTTAGACAAAATGCATTTCTTTTGTGCTGTCAGGCAATGCGGAGCGTTGAAAAAAGTGGGAGGGGGTAGAAAAAATGGGGAGGGGGGCTAAAACCAAATAAAAAAGCTTTACTGGTAGTTGTTTGCTATTAAGCATTTTTGCAAAACGTATTAAGCATTAGTGAAATGTTTAGCAGCTTTGCCAGGGCTTTATGGGGTGTTAAGAACAGTGATAGGATATCACCTTTGTACCAGATCCCTGAGTGCTTCGTTCCAGTTTTTGTTAACAACACATCGGCATTTGATTAAAACAGCTTTTGAACACCAATTCAAATTCTTGCTACACCCTGCGTTTCAGTACAATCAAATTCTAAGCATTTACTAAATTGAGCTTGACTGCAATCCTTCTTCATTGTCTATTCAAGGAAAAATAAATGAAAGGTAGGATAAAACAAAATCTATAGATAAAACAAATAATCTTTTTATCAGAAGCTAATAAGTGTTGTTTCTGCCCGACATTCCTCAGCTTCAGCTAATATTCACACAACTCGAAACAGCCAATGCAGAGGTCAGTCTGAAAAACGTATGAGCAACCCCCCAACCCAAACATGTCAGATCAAATAAAAACTGATCGGCATCTCATTTTCTATAAAATCCAAAATGCAATCCTAATCAACACCAGTCCTTTCAAAGAACGTTTCAAATACGAGGAGCTTTTGAAATCCGATGGCTTTTCGTAAATTGATTTTAAAACTCAAGTAAATCGAATTTCCTCATAATTCCTAAAAGAAAAGTAAAGATTGAAAGTTGATATCAAACAAACCAAGCTCCGTTACCTTTCCGCAAATAAAAGATATGTTTAATAAATATGAAAAGACTGTCAAAATGAAACTCAAGCGAAATACTTGCGGCGCAAAGTCGATAAAATGTTGAAAACGAGAGCACCACAACGCGCTAAGAACAAACGATAGCAGCCACAAATAAAAGGTGGTCAACTCAATTTTTTGGAAAAGGGGACATGTTTATCCTCCCTAGCTAGCGATGTTCTTGCTTAGGTACCATAACAATGTTTATCCACAGTATACATATGTAGATAAAAATTTAATTTAAATTCAGTTCTTGGACCGCGACGCGACAAGAACAAACGCCAACAATCACAAATAAAAGATAATCCACTCAATTTTTTGGAAAAGGGTACGTGGCCATCCTCCCCAGCTATCATCAACAATATTATTCACAGTATACATAGATAAAAATTGAATTTAAATTCAATTCTTGTCATTAAACATAAATTCCAAAAACATTAAATTTTCATATTAGAACACCCTTAACCTTACAACATATTTTCTTTTAAATCCGAAAATATTGACAATGCTGTAAGCTAAAGGATTTGTGAAACCTACTGTTAACCTATGTTTTTATAATCACGTATTTTATTTATAAAACAGGCAAGTTCGGTATTATTTCTCAGTTTTTCTAATTTTTGCTGTTTCTAATCTAGCTAATAAAACGATAAATCGTAAAAAATGAACATAACCGCACTGTCTTATTATTCCTTGATAGAAAAATAGTATTTGTTACAACCAAGCATCTGAAGGTTGTTTTCAGTCACGTCACCGAGAACCTGCGCTTATGAAGCAGTGCCGGGGCGGTCCTTCCTCTCGATGTGACCACACCTCGTGATTCCTACACATGGAGTAACAGACAGCTGGCAACTACGCTCAAAATGAGTATTTCGTCATGTCAGGGACTCGAACCACATCCCTCGAATCTCTAGTCAACCAACTCTAATCAAACAATCTGCCGTAAAAAGTAGAGGGCTTGGGGAGGTTTGCAGTCCTCAATCGAAGTGATGGCTAGGTTGGTGATGACGTCAAAAAATATTTTTCTAACTTTTTTTACTAAATAATCTGAAAGAGCCCTACCAAATAACTCTAGATACACAGAAGCGGCTGAAAGAAAATTATGTTTTCTGTGATAGTTGAACTTTCAGAACAGCTATTTTTCCAATCAGTTCAAGGACTCTTTTCCAAGGTTAAGCTTGTATGGAAAGTGTAACTTGTCGAGTTCTATACGATAAGCAACAGAAAATGAAAGATATAACATCGGTTTAGGGCCGTCGAAATCAACACAAATCACCTTGAAAATATCAATGAGTAAACGAGAAGCATGTAAAACAGGAACACACTGATGACGACTAACGATACCATTATACGTAATCAAATACATTCAAAGAAACATCAAAAAATCAACTTCAGATGCTGCCCTTCTACAAACAATGGGCAGGCTACATAATAAAAAGGATCTTGAAAATTAGATGCTCCTTTTTATTCCATCCAATCAATGATTTGGAAGCAGGGCTTTTCTACCTTAAAGAACTGGAAATTTTCGTGCTGGAAATCGTATAGGATAAGCAGAAAATATCACTGGTACATTGGAGCCTCCCAGAGCGTGACCGTATATTCCAGTTGCATAGATTTGCTAGATGGGAGACGGAAGACTGTCCACTTCCACATTCAGTCGCTATTCAGAAAACAAATTCAAGACCAGCCTTACCAAAATTAGACGAAAGTAAATAAATATTCAACAATAATTGTAAGACGGCAATTTAAGTATAAAAGGGAATCTACCAAAATCAATTTCTTAGGTGTTAGTGATTCATTCATGCGGAACTTGAATAGTTGGCCCCTTCGGGTCATCAAAACGATCCATTGTTGATATTCCCATCATGGCAAATATTCCACCGAAGACGATGCTAATAAGAAGGGCTGTGACGAATAAGCCTGTAAGAATCGGAATGGTAAAGAAATCCACACAGTCGTAGGCATTGGCGAACGGCTGACCCTTTGTTCCAAATGGCTGAACCTGAAAACAACAAAGCACAAGAGTTGCTTACCAAAATGAAGGAAAAAACCTCATGAGAAAAAAGGGCAATCCAAGAACCTTAGCCCCAAAACCATCATGGTTTTGGTGGACATTTTATGATATGATTTCTATCTATAAGAAAATATAGATTTTTCAAAACAATTCTGGAGGTAAATGGTGTTACAAGGAATATTGAGAAGCATTGCAATTATGGTGTAATGAGCTCAACACGGCACAAAAGGTGATTGAAAATAAAAAATACGAGGAAGATGAGCTGACCTGGAAACGTCCAAAAGTGACAGTAGATGTGTCATTGATGCTTTTGAGCTGAAGACTGCCACAGGTGTATGCCGCAGATTTTGGGGCAGTAACTGTGGTAGGGCAACCGGGATAATCGAATTTGACACCTGTTTCCTCGGTTCCTTTACCAAGTGTACCACTGTATGTGACGTCCATTGCCGAACAGGCCCAGTCAGTGTTGGATAGCTTTGCAAATGACATCCTAGGTAAATTTGATGATTAGTAAACACCATAACTCACAGAGAAAGCAAGTGAAAAATAAAAATTAACAAGCAATCACCGATTCCTCATGGACCTAAGTCAGAGAGACACCCTTTAACTTTTTTCGTTTTTGAATTCAGTTAACGAATTTCAATATTATGAGACTGCGAAACTGGGTAGGACACTCACGGTTAAATAAGCAAAACGTCATTCACAGTTTTCACAACTGCATTTCTTTTCCCAGTTCATACAGTTCTAGTGTTTCCCAGTTCAAGACAGACCCAAAGATGTGTTCCACTTTCGACTGGCAAATGAGCAAGAACTTTCAGAAACTTCTTCAAAGGAAAAAAAAGTGCCTAGTAAGTATGCCCTCTTCAAAACTGTTTTTTGCTTTCAATAACCATTCTCCTTTCGTTAGTGGTGTAACCGTTAGCGGTGAGCTGCAGCTAGCAAGATAATATTTCATATGCAATTAAAGGAGCTTAAGCATAACTTGCATAGCAAAACATTACCTAAGCGCTCGTTGGCTTGGAAAAATTTGGTCTTAGTAAACTTCTACATTAAAGCAGAATTTTTAAAGATCAATTTTAAGAAAAGCATTTGCAAGAATGATTAAAATAATTATACCTTAACTCGAACTGTGTGATGTTTTTTGGAAGATTTTTGTTGAACACAAGTGAAAAACTAAAAAAAAATCATTATCAAGGCATTAGAGGTTATTAACTATTTTTCTTTCGAATGTCTACTTAACAAGATACGTACACTGCATAGACACTTTCTACAGATCGTAAAAACTAAGTGGCCTTTTATCAAATACAGATATCTGGGCCTTAACATTATTTTTCAAGAGCATAGCGAAAATGATAGGTATGTGGCTCCTTCATTGAATTGGAATGAAGACAGTTTTATAGCTTGATATTGTAAATTTCACTACGTATCTTGTGATCCCTGCGACTGTTGTCCTTGTTTGTAATTAACTTGCATTTAACGTGTTTTAAATCAGTCAGTAAAAAAACGAAACATTCAGCCTTAAATCCCTGAAACTGTCTCTAGCTTGTCCTGAACAAAGCATTAGAGAGAGGGAGAGAGAGGGAAGAGAGGGAGAGAGAGGGAGAGAGAGGGAGAGAGAGGGGAGAGAGAGGGAAGAGGAGAGAGAGAGGGAGAGGAGAGGGAGGAGAGGGGAGATGGATGGAGAAGAGAGGGTGAAGTAGAGGAGAGAGAGGGAGAGAGGGAGAGAGAGGGAGAGGGAGGGAGAGAGAAGGGAGAAGAGAGGGAGAGAGGGAGAGAGAGAGGGAGAGAGAGAGGGAGAGAGAGAGGGAGAGAGAGAGGGAGAGCGAGAGGGAGAGGGAGAGAGTGAGGGAGAGAGAGGGAGGGAGAGAGAGAGGGAGAGAGAGAGGGAGAGAGAGGGAGAGAGTGAGGGAGAGAGAGGGAGAGAGAGAGAGAGAGAGGGAGAGAGAGGGAGAAGAGAGAGAGAGGGAGAAGAGAGAGAGAGAGAGAGAGAGAGAGAGAGAGAGAGAGAGAGAGAGACAAATATAGCTTTTCTCACGTCGACTGGTTGTTAGAGCATTTCCCACTTTGAGTTGCTGTAGCGTTTATCATTTCTGCTGAATGTCCCCCATAAGTTAGCTTAATGCTGTTTGCATACAGAAAAAAACAAGTTGACAGATTGAATAACTGTCCAGCAGATGACTGTACGCTGAGAAGATGCCGTTTTAATCCTGTCCCATCCGATGCATCCTTGTGGATTCGCTCAAAAATCTACAAATCAAATTTTTTTTCAGATTTGACAACATAAGCAGTAAAAAGGATTAGGTTATCTTTAAGTATAAACCAAAAATACTTCCATGTTGAAAAGAAGAAACCATTATAGCTTTGAATCTTTAACAGTATCAATAATCTTCATATTTAAAACGTCTTTATTTTTACTACTAAAATATCAATTTCACAACAATAAGAGGATATACATCATTTAGATCATCACATCATCCGTTTCCTATCATACTGAAAAATGACATATTCCAAAATTATTCTGTATGGTTTCTTTTCAACACTAATCTACGTTTTCTTGACTAAAAAGAAAACATGACGGATTCGAATGCCCCAAATTCTTATACCTCAAATACTGACATTAGAAATCTTCAAATCAGAATAAAAACATGCGAATGAGGTAATTAAAAGTGCTTTTTGATGCTACTTACATCAGAGGGTTCAGCAGCAGTAAGTAAAGCGGTGTACATATCATGCTTATCAAATTGTGATATTATCTTTCCCATGATGTCATCTTGAAAATGAAAATGTTAGGTGTTACGCCAAATCGTGCGTTACAAAAATACTGCTCAGTTTTGTATGAATAAATAACAGAGTAGGCCAAGCTGTTGTTTGTATTGGGCACTTGACATATCATGCACCATGCTTAATGAGGCCCATCATATTTGATCAATAAAAACATTGCAAACGACATAAGTGACTACGCGTTTGCCTTTAAAAATCGTCCCTAACCATAGTTATTACTATCGGGTTTTGATAATGTTCAGGAAGGCTTTTTAAAACATAACTTTGTGCTCATCAGCATTAACAAACTAAGTTAATTTATGGCTTCGTTTTGAGAATGCCTCATACTTCATTGTGTCTTGTGACGTTTGCCAATACTTTTATGCTGATAAATGGTTTCATGTTGATTGTAACTTTACTGTAGAATTTACGACAACGAGTAAAACTTGCAAGGAATTCGACTAAGAAAAATATTTCATTTCACAATTTCAAAACTGTTTGGTTCTATAATTTTTAACTTTATGTCTCTATAGATTAATATCAGGTACACTTGCATGATAAAAACACACAGATATGATAAAATGATAGTTTTCAGTTCGTATATGATAACAAAATTCAGGATAAAGAAGCATGAAGTACTTTTTAAGAGGAGGACTTCAACTGAATTTGTGCATAATGATGAACTCGTTATTAGTCAAATGAAGCTGCTTCTTTAAAATTTATCTGGCTGCTCCTTTTTGTTTTTGTCAATCATATTTTTAGGCATATTTGCATTTGTTCTACAAACAATACTTACAAAAAGCGTTTGGAAATCTTGAAGGAAGTGATAAAGTTTGATGCGTTCGATGTGTGACATTGAATCGAAAACCGAAAGGCCTGATATGTGAATTTTATATGAAATATAAACACGCCCTATCAATTGAAATGAAGCTTTTTATAGCTACAAATTTTCATGTGCTAAAAAGTGTGACGTGTAACATAAAGTCATCTATTGGCAACAATAAAGTACTAACCATTTTTTGACAAGATTGACATTTTTCCTTTTTCAGTGCTGTATTGAAAAGAAGAAAAAAATTGTGTTGCAAGTCAGTTATAGTAAGAATCCATTTAATATAAAACTGCATCTTAAAAATTCACTGATAGTTATAATCATTAAAAATAATTAGTAATTTAGAAAAAAATTAAACCTGCTGCATTCTCAATTTGTAGTTTCTAGAATTCCATGAAACTGAATTTTCGGTAACAGTGATTACATTAAGGCTTCTTGAAGACCTCAGTTTTCTAAATAATTCAATAAAAGATATATCATATAAAAACATAACACAAGCAGCATTTAAAAACTTGGCAATATTGAACACTCATAAACAACAAGCAAACAAGATGCCCCTAGCGTATTCCAAAAGTCTTACCTTCCCTCCACTGGTGGGAGGTGAAAAATAAAAAGCTTCTTCCCAACTACAGCACTCTTATCATAGTTCCACAAATCAATGTCTACAAAAAAATTATTAAAAAATACAATTACAAAACAGCAAGAGTTTTGTCAGAGTGTGCTAGATGGCTAAGAAATAACAGAAGATTGGAAGACTAGTGCGGCTGTACCTGTCTATAAAGGAAAATGAGATGTGAGAAGTTGGGGATCATACAAAGGAGTAAAACTACTGGAGCATGCTATGAAGGTTGTTGAAAGATTGATGGAAGCAGGTAGAAGAATAATTAAATGATGCAGTTTGGTTTTATGCTAGGAAAGGGACAACAGTTGCACTGTTCTTACTGATAGGAAAATCAAAAGGCAAGAGGAATATCAAGAAAAAGGAAAACAATTGTACATGTGTTTGTGGATCTAGAGAAAGCGTTTGACCAAGTTCCACTGAGAGTGATAGAATTAGGAAAAGAGGTGTCCTAGAAGCAAAAATGAAAGCAGTGATCGGTCTCCATTCAAGAGCAAAGATTAGAGTCAGCGTGCAGGCACGCGCACGTGGTTATCTTTGAGAGCAATTATTGCGCGCCCAGTGATAAATATTTCTCTTGAAGAGCGCGATTACCGGATGCGGAAGTTTGACATGGAATCCTTGTTTCCACTACTCCGTTTTCGTATGTCTCTGTTTTCCAATCTATCAGTTTCCGTTATTTATGAACCGTTCCCATTGCTGGCTTTTATAAATAGTTGGCTTTCATTAGCTATGCTTGGCTATTTTATACCTTTTTCATGCCAACATTGTAAATAAAGAGTTAATAATATTTATAATAATAAATGGCCTGGTCCACACCGTTTTGGCCAAATCGAAAACGAAGGTTTTCCCATTACTCTGTTTGTCCTTTTTCATATCCTTTGTTCGAGCTCATCTTGAAACTGAAGATGAATGAATTTTTTTTTTAATTGACTCCGTTTTCGATTCTCTCATTCCAACAATTCGTTTCTAAATGACTCAGTTTTCCAATGACTTCGTTTTGGCTGTTCCATCTTCATCTTCAAACAACTCTGTTTTCGGTTGATAATGTTTGAAGATGAAACATCTCTATGTCGCACAGTACCCTTCACGATTACTCCTGAGGGAAACATGAACATAAATACACAATGTGTAGCATTCAGTTCATTTATTAAAAGGTTTGTCACGTTTAATGATTCAATAGAAAAAACTTTATTGCTTTGTATTAAAAAATAAATTTGATTCGCGCGCCCCACTCTTATCACACGAGTTTTTGGCCGGGCATGTTGATTTCTGAGTGTGAAAGCCCTGCTAAAGGTCAATCTAGAAAGAAGAAAAGCAATGATAAGTGGCACATAAGGGGAGATAACAAGAAGCAAGATTGACCCTGGTGGTACTTGTTGCAAGAGAGTAATGACCAACTCAATGCTGTGCACAAGTTATGGAAAATGGATTCATGGTGGGTACCCAAGGTTGAAAAGGTGACTCCAGGTGACAATATTTTTTCTGAGCTTCATGATTGATGATCAAAAATAGAAGTACTTCTACTTAGAGCCAGTAGAAGATCTGTGGGATAAGGTGGAAACAGAAGGTGGGTTCAGTTATTTAGGTGACAGACTAAGTGCTAGGGAAGTGTGTGAAGTGGCTGTGATTACAAGAGTTTGACATGGATAGAAAAAGTTCAGGGAATGTGGTGAATTACTGCTCGGAAGAAAGATTTCTATAAAGATGAAAGGAAGAATATACAGAAGCTGTGTGAGGACTGGAATGATATATGGGAATGAAGCATAGTGTATATGAGAAAATTAACTTTCGACTTGTGGGTTGAAGCTGACTGACAAGAAGAACACTGATGAACTGTTACATTTGCTGGGTTAAGAGGGAACAGGTGATAAGATGGCAACGATTAATGGAGTGAGATGGTTGGAACAATTACTTAGAAGATCAGAAGATAGCATCTGGAGGAGGATTTTGGACTTCAATGTAAATGTTCAAAGAACAATAGGAAGGATATCATATAATAACTTCAGAGTTTCCATTGAAAGCAATAACTCATAGCTTAAAATATGTTTATTTATTTGCATGTATGATAAATTGCAAGCTAGGTTTCAGTCAAATCTAAGCAGAAAGGTTTCAAATCTTTGATTTGATCAACATTACCTTCCTTTCACTGCAACAAAATCAAATTCTTTTGGTATGAAGCTTAGATTGAGCCAAAGTTGGTGCACTTATGGACACCTATAGTTGTAAATTTTAGTTTTATAGGTATCTGTGAAAGTAATGCATAACAGCTAAACACATACCTGAACTGTATATCTCTTTCACCTGGCCAGCATGTTGCTTTCTTAGCAATGCTGTTAACGTCATTTCACCTTCCTTTTTCACTACAGAAGGTATTACCGCCTTTCCATTTTTGTCAAAAAATTTCTGCAGATTTTGAAATACAGTTGACTTTGATTCAAATGATTTTCTGCCATATTTTGTGACATCATCAAAACTGAGCTATAATGGATGAAATGATGAAATGTTGGTCATTACTATTAGTTAAAAGCAGAATAGCAATGGGATAAAACGGTATTTTAACAAGAAAGCATTACAATATACACACAAGGGCATTCTATCAAATATAAATAACTCTAGGTAATAGAAATTGGTATGCTATTTAGATAACATCACCAAAGATTGAATAAATCAAATCAAAAAATTCTTCTAGTAAGAAAAAGGAAAATGAAAATGAACAGGTCCTTTTGATACTTCAAATGATTTAACTGCAACTTTGTGCCTATTTCAACAAAGCATTTATGCATACAAACACACTTTTACATAGCAAAATCTTAAAGTTGATGTGTAATTAAAAAATTGATAGACAATATCCTTATCTGCAAATGAAAAAAACCTAAACTCTTTGCAGCTACAACAAGTTAAATGAAAATGAAATTATTTCTCAATTTGTAACTTTGCTAGTTGTGTGAAAAATACAGATCATAGTGTGTTTATCTACTGAACATGATTAAATAATAGAACCATGAGAATCAATCACATTAGACTAGGCAATTTGAATTTTGCGGGGAAAAGTTCATTTTGAAAATTTGAGACTGCCTGCCTGAAATCACAAATACTTTAGAAATTAAAAATAGAAATTTACAAATAGAAGTTTATAATTTCAAAAGTGATATTTCCCAGTGATTCTGCATGACAAGTATGCAAAATTGCTGAGATGTGTGCATGACAGGGGGAATATATTGTGGAGAGACAAAAAAGTTTCAAGACAGGTGATCATCATACCTTGTCTTGAACAAATAATACTACTGCTCTAGGTGATTCAAGGAAACTCTTCAAATGAATCTTTGCCTCAGTGACAGAAAAGTCATGCCCAAGAACTGTATCATCACTTGAAGTTAACTCTCTGTAAAAAACAGTTAAGCAAACTAAAATTATGCTCACAATAAATAAATTTCACACAGTTTTAACTAAAAACTATAATGGAAAACTTCCATTTGCATGCCATATGATTGGTAAAAGAAGGTTTGTACTCACTCAGTGGTTATATCGCTAAAGCAAATTACATTTGGTCTTACTGTCAGGAATAGAGGCATATGTTAGATGCAACATAAAGATTATATCTTGGTGGTCTTGAAATGGCAATCCAAACAGAAAACGATTTTGAAATGGCAATAAAATTGCCTAAACATCTATAAATGCAGCTTATACTTTGATTTACATAAAACTGGTGACACATCATTAGGCCTACAGTTCTTTAAACCAGTCCCCTTCTTGAAGAAAATACGTTTTCATGCTTTGCTTGGCATAGCCTTCTTGACGTACCTTCGGAGGAATATTTACATGGAATGCCCCTTGGGATGGGTGGCATGTGGTTCAAGTTTGGGGAGAGAATTGCAGCAAATTAATTAGTTATATCTTCTCATAACACACCGCAATTTTCAATTAAGCATTGATTCACCGAGGAAATATCAGGCTTCAAGTACCATACTTTCAATACTGGGTTCAGGGAGGAGATCGGAGACTTGGCCTACCTGTACTAGGCCTAAACCCAAATTTGGTTTTGCTTTTCATCTTGTCAAGATATCTTTTCTCCCTCATGGCTTTAAAAAATTATCTATAAACCCTTTCAAAAGATTGAATCCTGATTTTAACATAACATGCATGCTGCCATTACAAAGGAACTTCGAGGAAAAACATCTTTTTCAACCTTTAGCGATCAAGTGACATGGGAAAGTTTACGAATAAATTGCCGGTTATCCCGGTGTTATTTTTTTGAAAAAATAAATTCGTTGCTTTAAATAAAGTTTCTTACCTATCATTTGACCAAAGAAACAGCGGAGTAGATCCAAAACTGCTAGATTTACATATGAAAACAATGATAATAAGAGCTACACTTCTCCATATTAATAGGCCGGCCATCTTGATCACTGTATGTCCTGTCCAGGTCATGGGCGAGTTGCGCAGGCGTATTTAGAAGGTTGAGTGTCAGGTGACCAGGAGGCCAAAGCATCTGTAGCGTCTTTGGGTCCATATGTGAAAGCCCTAATATAATGTCACGAAAACTTTCTCGAATTTCGAAAAAAGATCTTACATCCCAAACCCCAAATTGTATTGTAACACAAGAGTGTTTAAATTTGTTTGATAAACAACGCTTAATGTAGTTATGTTAAAAACATCATTGACTTTTTAGCAACTAAAAAGTTCACAAAATTAACAGTTCAATTTTGACTGCGCTTATGTCAATCAAGGGCTGCAGAGCATCTTACAGATTAATGGGGCTAAAAACTTTTGGGGGGCAAAGATCGTGGAGTTTTTTGCATGGTTTAAAGTACATTTTGGAAATTATTGAGGGGGCTAAAGCCCCCGTTCCCCCTACCCCGCTTCCGCGGTCCCTGATGTCTATCCAAGCTGTTCAATAAATACACGTATATTACTAAACGTAACTACAGGTCATAACTTTGCATGAAAAAAATAATAATAAGGACAATAATTTATAAAGTGACTTTTAATCACGAACTAGCTTTTTCCTCTCATAACTTACAATTCTTCTTTCGAAATTAAAAATATCACAGACCCTTAAATAACTTAGAACTTTCCGTATGTCATAAAATTGTGTTTCCCGTAAAAATTCTACTAAATAAACAGAGAAGATTGAAAAGTACCTGTTTAGCCCTTTGGGCAGAAACAGTGAACTATTTTTACTGTTTTCAGCTTTAAACTGACATATATAATTAGAGTTGCTTTATATTGCTAGAGTTTAGTGCTTAAAGGAGAACTGACACGCAAAAATAAGTTTGGCTAAAACGGTAGTTTGTGACAAGCAAATTCCAGGATAGAAAGAATTTTTTAAATCACAGTTACCGTTTTTGAAATACAAGCGTTTTAAGTTGAGAAACGACAATTGTTCCGACAACTTGAGACTCGAGGCGAAAATCGTCACGAGTGGGCGATCATCTTTGACGTCACAAGTGACATGTTCTCAGCACGTATTGTGTTTCTCTATAGAAACCTTTAACAAAATGCTGCGGGCAAATGTTTATTTTGTGCATGTGAAAGGAGCTAATTTTGCAATTTTGACACATAATTGACTTTTTCAATTGTTTGGGACTCTGAATCGGAGTTTTATTACACTGATTTCGAAACAAATGGAGAGTTTCAGCCGTCTGAGTTTTTGCTGCCAACCAGCGCTGCCGCTTGGGCAGACAGTCGTGAGTCGTCCCATGGCTCAACAGTAACGATGTTATGGACAAAGAAGATTAATCAGACTGGACAGTTCACTAACACTGAAAATCGCATATGTTCTCACAATTGAAAATAAATTCAATGCTATAATTGGGAAAACGAAAATTCAACAGATTATTCTTAACGATAACAGATCGTAAATGAGATCCAGGTATCGTGACGACTTGAATTTCAATTCATGTTCACTATAGAAGTTTGAGCGCCGTCTTTGTCTAAAGACTGTTTTTGTCGATCTAGTACGGCCTATAAATAGATAAAATTTAATAGCCCATGCTGGGCTCTCTATGAATATCTGTGAAACCTGCAAGTTAATTTCTATTACAATTTGAATATTATTAATTATGTAGGGATATCTAAATGAATGCATTGAGTTGTTTCTATAAAAATGATTTACAAAACTGTTCCGTTCTATACTTATAAGTGCTTTTTACAATAGTGAAGGCGGGTTAATATAACAGAGACATTGTGCGAGCTATTTATATTTTGTGTAAAACCATTTTTCCAAAATCACGTGTGTTGTCTAGAAAGGGTTCTGGCGAGAACTTTGATAAAGAGGGATATACCCTGGCTAGTCGAACACACGTCTGGATTTACGAAAATAGTGTCTCTAGCTTATTATAGCCAAAGATATACTTGATATACTTAAGTCGAAGTATAAATTGTCTGTTTATGCTTGTCTATAGGATAGGGTCAACTGGGCATTATCTTCTTTTGCAAACAATTTTGGCTTGGGTGGGGGATGGTCTTTTTCTAGACTAGATTATTCCTCTAGTATCTCACCTCTGTTAAAATACAATAATTAAGTCAGTGAAATTATTTTAAGGTTTTTACATGTAGACATCTCTGCTAGTCTCTCATCAAGTAAAAACAAAGTTTTTTCTTCTTGACATAATCAATCAAACAAGGTTTTTTCTTGAATTCATATTTCTGCACCCTAAGCAGGTTGCAGGATCGCTTTTACCGCTGTCTCCACTAGATTTCGTTTGTCTTTTGTCTATTGCTTCAACCCCCCCCCACCCCCATATTGCGGTTTTATTTGTAATTGTAAAAATAAAAACTTTGAAGAAACGGTATCAGTTTTCAAACAAAGTCGACTCCTTTTTTCACAAGCTTTGAGGTTCTTTGAATGTTTCGGAGCATGCTGCTTCGAAGATATCATGGCATAAAAATAAATTTTATGTGGATATTAGCGTCTTATCAGATATGTAGCTAGGATTTTCTAGCTTCTTTATACTTATAAATGAAATGCCTGACAATTCTTTGTCTTTTTATCGCAGACTTTTTTCAATAAAACACGAAACTTCATTTGTACTTCTACCGTTGCGGTGAAAGCCTTTACAACGGCATTGTTAACATGTCACTTGTGACGTCAACCGAGAATTTTAACAACTCTTGGCGATAATCTTGTTTCCGCTTCGGGAAATTCCCGAGTCCTGGCTGTGACGTAATTGACAGATAAAAGTGCAAATATCAGAAAAACGGCGAATCTTAGAAGAAAACTTTTTGCAGATTTGAAGTCAGCGACAAATTTTGCATCGAATAAGCCAAAGTTATTTTTGCGTGTCAGTTCTCCTTTAAAGAAACAATTTCGACCTGGGAAACAATTTCAAAAATTTCAATTTCAAACAAAATAAGAACTCGATTTGTAACACAGCAATTTCTGATCTTGCAATTGATATTGTGAACTCTGAAGTCTGAATTCCAGGATTCAGAAAAAACCTGAACTGCTGCAAGAAGTGGGTCTTGAAAAGCAAATCGAATGCGATGAATCGTACACAACAACAACAACAACAACTGTTGTTACATCAAGGCAGCGTCACTAACAAGAAACTACTTTCATAAAGGAGTTTTAAGATTATAGAAAAACCAGCCGGGGTATCAGAGGCGGATCCAGCGGAAAATCTGAGGGGTGCTTAAGGGCGTTGCCTTAATAGCCATAATAATGCCACACCCTACTTTTCTTTACGGTTAAATGAAGGCAACACCCATCTTGATAAATTAATCTTTTTTAAATTCAGGTATTAAAGCATAACTATATAGAAAATTATCTCTTTTGTAAGAAGCCTATTTTCTAGCAATGCTAGTTAAAAATAACACTGCTACCTTCGCAGTTTGTACATCACATTAATCAATGAATGACATTTTAGGTCGCTAGTCAATATTTGATTGCTCTGCAATATTCAGGCGCTGGTTCATTTTTGTAAAAAGGCAGCTAAAATGTTTCAAACAAAAAAAAGCAAAATGAATCATTGATACGTTAACTGACCATTACTATACGAAAATTGACTTAAATATTATCGAGTCGTGATTTTCATAACTAACCTCGTACTGATTGACAAAACAATTTCCATCAATAGCAAGTTGTCAAAAACGGATGCAAGTATCGCATGAAACAGCAGCGATCACGCCGATTCCAAATGACCCCTATAGAGAAGGCCTATTTACCATGACTCAATACTTGTAAGAATTTGTTGATAAAAATTGATTGTTTTACTAAGTACCTTGTTGAAGTAGTACGTTTTTAGGGTCATCTGCATTTGGCAAGAAATGGTTATCGAATTCATTCTGGTAGTAATTACCATACCACCCCAACAACCAAAAATCCTTGGCACCACTTTTTTGGGGGTGCGCATTTTTCTCTGTAAAATTCGATATTTTTGTTAAATTAATCCAAGAAATATTCTGTTAAAACGTTGTGCATTTAAAGCCTGGTAAAGGAAACTACCAACCTGAAAGGCCGAAGGTCAGAACTTCCACGGGACAGTACTTGAACCTTTGGCATTTGCAGTTCAGCGAACTCATCGATCTGTGTATTTCCACAAGTCACGACACCATCCACCACGCTCTTATCAAAAACCTCTCTCACGATTGACTGAATACTCAAAAGCTCGTTTTCCGTTTCAATTTCTTCAGTCGACTGGCAACCAATAATCGAGAACACCTGCAACAGCAACGACTTTATGTCCGCCATTGCTGCTACACGAACAGGTTTAGTCGTTTCAGTGACGGTATGCACCAGTGTTTATTAAATGATTGATAGGGGTGCTCAGATGAGCCGAAATTTGGCAAACGGATTGGTTGAAGCCTTGTTTTGATTGATAGGGGTGCTCGACATTGCGGAAAAACATATCAGAGCGTGATGTGATTGGCTCAGTTGCAACTTTGACCTTAGAGGTTGATTGATAGGGGTGCTCAAGCACCCGTAGAATTGAAGTAGCTCATTGGCCGAGAGTGTGGTTTGATGGACAAGTAAAAAAATTGGTTCCAGGGCAGCTCAACATGAAATTTCTAGCTATTTATAGTTTAAAGCAGATACAGGTTATGCTAACTAACGCATGACCGTATGTTACATTATGTTTACTGGAAAATGCATTTACATCATCTAAAAGGATTCAAAACTTTTTTCAGAGATTAGAGAAAATGCATTGAATGTTATATCTCCGAAAATTCTGACCGGTGCTCAAGCACCCATAGCACCCCCCTAGATCCGCCTCTGGGTATGACGGTTGACCTCTCAAGCCAAATTAATAAGTTAGGATTAAACTCAAGTTCATGGAGCTACCAAAGCAAAATGCATTACTTAAATTCTGGTTCGTTTTAAACAAAATTGTTCTCTAGACTTGAATTGAGTAGACTCTACAGCCTATTCAGATAACACTGAGGTTCTGAACGTTAGGGTTTTCTGCCTAAGAAATGGTCTTGGAAAATGAACATGTCAGGCGTTAAAAAGCATTGTAACAACTGAAGAGGGACACAAAAATCGCAAGGTTTCGTAGATATAACAATGAACGACAGCGTTTAAATAGACTCTGATCACCGCAAAATTTTAGAATTACTGCCATGAACCTCGTTCTCAATATCACACTTTGAAAATAATCCTCTCTAGAGGAATGACCTTTGAAGAAAAAGTGTTCTTCCGAGCTTGGTTACTTTTTAACGTCATTTTCCTCAATTGATAATTATCTAGAGCATTTCATGTCCAGGTTTACTCCTTTCTTGCTTTTCTTCTTGTTGCTCTTCTGCTGAAACAAAGCAAAGTGAATTAAACTCACAATACATATCATCCTTTTTAAAAAAGGGGTGTTCTCAAGTATCAGAAATATATAATAAATATATCAGATGATTGGGAAAAACAATACTGATTGCTGATTGCTGAAACGAGGATCAAGAATATGGCGAATAGAGCTTATTAATTCAATGTAAAAGAAAGGTTTTGTAGATAATTCTATTGAGCTGTGAACCTAGACATATTTTAAATGCAATAAACCACTATACATAGATTTGTGCTACTTAAGGCACTGCGCAAATTCTCCTCCAAAGCGACCTCTTACCTTGGAGATGAATCCGGTGGAGGAATGTCTTCTTCTGGAGCTGCTTCTGGGGCAGCATCTGCAGATTCTGTTTTCTCCTAAAAAAATGAAATGAGCCAAAACGTAACAATCGCAAGTGTGAAAACAATTTCGAGGACAATAAGGTAGCACCAGCTACCTTCGTATACTTAGATAAAATGTAAGCGAGCATCAGTATCAGGGCTGGATTGGAACCCTCGACCAACTGTGCTACCCAGTAGCAATAAATCATGTGACGTACATTTTCTTTCAGTATATTTTCTCAAATTTTCTACACTGCAAACAGTTGTTGCCCTAAGTAATGATTAACAGGACAAACTGGTATTAGCCGTTATTGATACAATCTTACATCATCAGTGAGGTACAAAGCTCTTCTGAAAGTCGTCACCAATTGTGCAGGTAAAAACTTCTAATATTATGTAATACCTGTGTAAGGAAGTGTGCTATATACAACATTCTGTAACTACGATTAACCTAATTTAGAGGGCGAAATGGTGTTCTATCAACAAGGCATCAGATGTCAGGGACTACAGAAATGTTTACCACACAGAAATGCACTTCGCATTTGCATAGCTATTTTCTTGCTAAAAGATTCATCCGCCACCCATACAGTCAGCCAGAGAGCCCCCATGACCTTCCCTGAAGTTGGACATCTACAGTCAATGGAATTCCTTTTAAAGATTTCAGATCGGGGTTGAGTTCGTTTTAATGAACTAAACGTACCTCTTCCTTTGAACTTTTCGATTCATCTTTGTCAGCTTGCACTTCTTCTTTATCTTTGCTCTTGAAAAAGCAAAATTAGGAAATTTACATTTTAAAGCGAAAAGAATAATTATATTTGATTTGAATTTAAAAAGGGGGAAGATATTTCTATCGTCCGGTAACTCCTCCACAACTTCAGTTTGAATGAATGCGGTGAAAAAACTATGCTTCGTGCATCCTTTCTGAATGAACCCCCGAAAATGTAAACGGTGTGCACAATACCAACCGAGTCCAATGCACATGTTATTTTACAGCACAGACGGGGGACTACTATATTTCTAGACTCTGAAAAAATCTTTAAACATCTATAATTACACACCTCATCTGGCTCATCACTGTTATCTCCTTCCTTTGCCTCTTCATCCTCGTTTTCTTCCTGCTCCTGTTCTGCATTCTCGTCATCAGCTGCTGGCTCATCAGTTTTTTTTCTCTCGGCTGTCTCGTCCTACAAGTTCAAATTTTCAGTTAGAAATATATAAAACTGACGAACACTGCCTTCATTGCATTCGTTATATTTACTAGATTTTCTATTTAGAATTTGTTTAAAGTAAACACTCAAAGGTATCGTCGTTTTCAGGCCTCAATTGCCCATAAAATGAGTGAGACATCTATTACTTGTCGACAAGTTTGAAAATTCGCTGAAAAAGCACACATAGCTGGCACAAAGCTCCACGTTTTTGGAATAAAGTTTTTTAGGGGGTTTAACAATATCGTTCAAAATTGAATTTTACAGTAGCTTGTAGGGGTGTACCGGATATCCGGTGGGTCGGATAACCCGGCGCCGGATCTCTGATTTTTTGAAAATTTAGTTCCGGCCAGATTTGTTTCCGAAATCCGGCCAGTTACCGGATTTTCCAAAATTTTAGTTGGAACAAAGAAAATTTCTAGAGAAACCAGTTATAAAAGAGTAAATACAATGAAAAGAAGAATCAAAAGCAATAGAACAGATTTGAACGTAATTCTAAAAGTTAAAAGCATCCAAAACAGCAGTTTTCACAAGTTAAAGTCGTCCAAGGTTCAGATGCAAGAAAAGAAACTTCTTGCGATCTCTTAGAGGAAGTTTTGTTCGCTTGTTTTCGAAGATATTTCCACCCTCCGAAGAAACTGCTCTGAATAAACACTAGATTCTGTAGCAAACAAATATTGTTGGGCTAGCTTGGCAATGTAAGGAAAGTAGTTTTGTGCTGCTTCCACCAAAGAAAAAGTAATTTGTTGCGTGGTATGCATGGAATGGTGATTTACTCCTCAAACTCTGCAGCTATTACAGTTCACAGTTGATATAATAAAGAGCGCCAAATCTTGACTCAGGCTCACCCCAGATCCACTTTGAATGATGAAAAGCTAATTTGAAGTGTAAATCATACACAGTTTAACCCATGTTAACTTAACCTGGGTTAACCCAGGTTGAGCAGTGTCGTGTAGATTGGGCTTTGGAGGTTCTTGTTTATCAATGGATAGTATCAACACATATAGTATAAAGTGGGTAGTGCCTTTTCAGGAAACACCTTGAAAATAAGCCAAATAAAAAATGGGCCGAAAAATTTCATTTCAAACAAAAATATGCCATAGCTTATCATTGAGAAAAGTACAGTATTTGCTTCGACGATAAAACAAGCGCCTTGAAAATAGATTTGAATTTGCTTGTCATCAGGAAACAGGAAGACTGGATGGTATTTTTATAAAGTTATTCTCTTCGTTCTTCTTTTTATACATTTCCCTGCAAAGAATCTCAAAACTTTTTTATTACAGAAAAATCTGGTAATGATCGGGTATTCCGGCCGGATAATCCACAAAGAGACCCGGTAAATCCGGTTCCGGCCGGATTCTGAAAATGCTGATCCGGTACACCCCTAGTTCTCAGCCTTCAGCATGTTCCTAATTGTTTTTAATTTTTGGCCAATTTTTGGGCTCGTGTTCCTCATAAAATTGCTTTTACAAAAAAATAAAAGTGCAGTAAACTTAGTTGTGATCTATCATTGCATTGATGAAAATAATGTGGATAAGTATTAGAGAAAGGCGTACCTTTTTGCCTGGTAAACAGCACGCAATGATAAGGATTATGGGTAAGAAAACCACGATGACGTAAATTGCCCAAAGCCAGGGTCTTTCCTTTGTCGCATCTTGCAGCGCGTTCCAGATGCCACCCTAGAATAAAAAAGACCAATCAAATACAGCGTGTATATAATAGTCGATCGGCGATGCATGTTGTACTCCTCTGCTGACAGTACGTTATGTCAAGTTGGCAAGCTCTTTGTGCCATACTTGTGTTGCCATAATGCTGCTATTCGCAACGCAGATGACATGAAGCAATCATTCAATTAAGGGTTGAGCATAGGCACACTGTATTTGGCACAGTACTTAAATAACCTGACCTTTTGGTCAATAAATATAAATAAATAGGGGGGGGAAAGCACAGTGAAATAAAGGTTAGGCAGTATACAAACAAGGCTCTTTCTCTGGCAAAAGTATTGTTTTAAAAAATGATCGCATTTCTAAGACGTTTTAGCACATTAATGATTAATCCCTCACAACGATAACTAACTAAAGATAGAGCTGCACTCATTTTCATCAGCAAAACTGGCCAGTCTACTAGCAAAAGTGTAAAAATGGTAACTCACCCCTGATTCGCCGGTGACGGAAAATTCTCTTGCGAATTTCAAATCCCAGCTGTTGATGCAACCAAGGGGTTAATAACATATATGCAACATGCCATAATTGATACATATATGCAAAAATACATCAACCTTTTAGCATTTAAAGTCAGCGTACTCACGAAAAGATATCATGGCTTAAGTTGAATAGGGCCCACTTTTTCCTTATCCTTTTGTATTACTATCTCAACTTGCAAGTCGACGTTTTTGGTCCAATTTCAGTTGTCCCGAAAAAAAATTCAGGGTCCATTCAACTTTTATATAAGAAAAACTACAAGGCCTAAATAGAATTCCTATTATGTTGATAAAATGTAAAATATACTAAAATTAAACCCAAGTCTGTCATATTTGACGAAAAACCGGCCTATGCATAAGTAGATCTTCATTAAAGTCAAAGACAGTGCTGCCCTTAACTGCTTCAACTTCTATCATGTCATTTTCTGTATATTGTAAGATATTACCTTTCTGCTGTCCATGCATCGACAGTCGACTTTTGACTAGAAATGATAACGTTATCAAACACAATGTCGTCACTCATCGACCAAAGCTCGAATCCGATCGCAGCCTGAAACGATAGAAATCACATAGACCATAATAATAATGTGGTTAACTCATAAAACACTGTGATGCTTGTCATAAATAATCTTAATTTACACTTATCATGAAAAACTTACAAACAGACTAGTCAGTCAATAACAACTCCAGAAATGAATTCTAAAAAAGTGAGAATTTGAAAAGTTTAAAGATCATTACAAGCACAAGTCACATCTAATTGGCCACCCACTGATGTTTCTAACAAAAATTGAAAAAAATCATACAAGGCAAAATTTAATACTCTCTAAAACTGCAACAGTTACTGCTACTCACGATTGAAGTCATTTTAAACGGATCTTTATCTTCGAAATAATCCGGATTCTTTATTTTCTTTGGCGTCCATTTGCCCTAAAAAGATTGATCACATTTTACAGTAAGGATTAACTTTCATGTACAACATCAAGTAAATATTTGCTAATATTTGTCTTTTTTGTATTTTTGCTTAAATAAAAAACTAAAAAAATATGATTGTTGTTATAGGGGTAAATCAAGAAGAATTTTCAATTTACAACTTTCCTACCATGACCCTTAAAAAGAAAAAGGTTGGATTACTTTGCAGATATAAACATATATCTTTGTGATTATAGTTTTCGTTTATTAATACACAGATTTAACCTTGATTTATTATTCCATAATGTGGAACTATTGTTCCGGCTACAAAATTCATTAAAAAGCTCTTGCTTAGCGTCATTTCAAGTATCGCATAGTTTCCTGACGAACACTGTCAGTGATGAAGTCTATACAGACAGACAAAAACTGCTATCTACCTTATAGTCAGGATTATCAATGAGAGGGGGTTGCCACTTTCCTTTAAATTGTGGGTTGTCAATCACGGGTGCCTTCCATTCTCCGCAACCAATTTCAGAGCACTTCGGATTTGGGATCTGCGGAGGCTCCCATTCACCATCTTCCTCGGCATCCCAGTCGGCAGGTTTTACAGCACTGGGATCAGGGATGTTCTCAGGTGCGTCATCAAGCCATCCATCTGGTTTCTTTGCGTTTGGATCAACAATTTTCGCAGGCGCATCTTCATCCCTATGGCAATACAATCAGCATTTACATTAGCAATTAAATGCCTACATCGGGACACAGAAAAAATACACATTGAGCAAAACTTTAAAATGAACATTGTAACCTTTAAGAAAACGAAAGCCAAAAATGCCAGGTGATAGATGCCATGCATCCATGCATCCGAACATGCAAGCTACACAATTATCAGTTGTCTTTCAGAAATACCGTAAATCCTCGAATTGTCCCCCACCCTGAAACTAAAAATTGCCAATAAGCCACCCCCAACGAATAAGCCCCCATTGCTACCGGAAATGCTCGAATTGGACCCCTCCATTTGATGATTTTTGCCATCTGAGATTGCCTATGGCGTTTTATTGAATTACCACAACAAATTCATACTTTTGGTAGTAATTAATTAAATGCTCATAAAGAAATTTCTACTTAAATAAACGAGGTATTTTGATAATGTCTTCTCAATGTCTACAATAATTTTATAAGCCCCCCCCCCCTCGAATAAGCCTCCATCCAAAAATAGCAAAAAATAAATAAGCCGAGGATTTACGGTACTTTGATACAGAAGCAATGTAACTTACCAGTCAACTGGCTTTTTAGCATTTGGATCAACAATCTTCTCCCTCTCATCCCATTCATCAGGTTTCTTGTCGCTTGGGTCATCAATTTCTGTCGGGGGGTTTACTGATGGCTCAAAATCAGTTAGCAGGCTGCCAGAATTAACAACTTGCTTATCTACTTGAATCTCAAATGTATTGTCAGGCCTGATTGTGAGAGTGAACAAGTGTGTCTTCTTGTCATCAAAAATTTTCGAAAAATCACCGGTTGGTTTCTTTGCATGCTTTTCTTCGTACTTTCCTGTCTTTGGGTTTTTATGTTGAAAGATGAAATGTAGCTGTGGCAAAAACAAATGTTAGCAGTTAAGCATACAATCAAAGTAAATCATTTTGATAATATGATAAGTTTGGTGAATATTAAAAGACAGCAATAGAAAGTGAAAGCGATTAGTGAACACATCAAAGTAAAGCAACTTAGCATCTAGACAAATGCTACTTCTGCCAAACAAAAATTTTGTTTATGAAACATTGAGATTACCTCTCTAATAAAAACTGGGTAATGCAGATTACCTTCAATTTGCTTTGCGCCAGTGCTACACTGGCAAGCAATCAAGTGGGAACAAGAACTTAAATACTACAATACCTTGCTGTCTTCTCCACATTTATCTGGTCCAAACATTATTGTGTATTGTGTCTTATCGGTTAGTTCTTCCTAGAATGAGTATTTTCAATAATAGAGAAATTAACATGATGATAAAATTTTGGAGTTAATTAATTGGTTATCAACTGATTTGAATAAAAATAAACAAACATATATATATATATGGTTGAACTTTGCCAAAGGAAATAAAATAAATTTTGATTAATTTTCATATATGTTTCTTGCAATTCTGAATGGTGTTTACTTCAAATAAAGTATCAAAGTTTAAGAAAATATTCAATTAAACAAAAAGAGGATTCACATCTGACAAACACAGCTTTTCTATTATATCTATCACAATAACACAGCTCAAAGACTTGTAAGATATTTGTTTAGTCAGCAAGATTGTAAAGACTTCTATGATGTTTTAGCCGTTCAAACTTTGCTAACTTTACTTGAAATCTTTCAGATCTGTATACATTCTCTAGGATATATTGTTATGTTCCAACTTGGATGTTTTGATGATCTCTTCAAAAATATATTTACTGATTTTAGGCATTGTTAATGTTTGACAAAATTTTGTTACTCCTCGTATAGCCATAGAAGTTGACAACCCTGCAGAAAGACTTTGCATACCAAGTCAAGCTTTGGCAAGTCTGACAACAGCTTCATGTATGCACCACCACACTCCAGTCCATTTTGAAATTTAACTTCATATCTGTAATGTGAGCATGTCAAAAATAAAATATATACATAAAAACAAAAAAAGTATTTAAAGAGGTGGAAAGAATCATAAAAAATCAACAAATTGTTATACTCTAATGTACAGCTGCAATCCTGGGTACGCACTCTGCCTTATCTTTCTCCCAGTAAAATTTTAGCTCTCATTCATTATTAAAATGATTCTTTATGGCAAAAATTTAATCACCTTGGTGACACTTACAAGATAATGAATGGGTATGATACTATAGAGGGCTGTAAAAAAGAATACATACTGCACAATAAATGGTTGATCAGTAAATTCAAACTTTGTTGGCAACAAACTGGAAACTGCATGATGTTTGGCCTTTTCCTACAATAAAATTGGGGGATTATATTTCATTGCACTTGGTAGCCAAAACTACAACAACAACAAAACAAGATTTTCCTGACAAGTGCTGTGAAGAAAATGAGCCAACAACCTAAATTTAATTTTGAGCAGTAAAAGCAGCCCATAGACCAACCCTCCTAACATATAAGAAAGAAAATATTATATCAGATATATATAATATTTAGTTCATAGAACAGGGTGGTTCTAAGCTGCTACACTGAGTTTCCCACCCAACGTGATCATCAGGCAACAGTTATGGATGATACTATGTATAGTTGTTATGTTCCTATAGATATCAAGAATAGGGGGAGACTATATAGCTCTGCCTATACAGCATCGCACGCTTCACGGCCAACCAGTAAACAGTAATTTTCAGATATAATCAGGCCTTTTTGGGCTATTGACTACCGTCACAAAAACATGTATTGATTGCAAGAGAAAGGTAAAGTTAGGGAAAAGTTAGCAACAAATATCAATATTGTTGTTGTCACTATTATTCAATTTACATCTTCACATGGAGTCGTCAAGAACACAAATGAAGTTTGGGGTAGATATCCACTGTTCCAGTCATTTTTAGCCAAAATTCTGTGCCTTAAAATTGTTGATAGGACCTTCATTCAAAGATGTTTTTACTGGACAACAGGTGAAGAACTCCATAAATCCTTAGAACTTTGTAAAAATTCTGTATCCCATGCATCATTTTCGAGAAAACCCCCATCCAGCAAATGTGTAGAATTTTGTTGTTCAGTCCAGAAGTTGCCAGATTTTCGCAATCCACGACAAATTTTCTTCAAAGGTCGTTCAATTTTCAAAGTTCCGTCAGCTACTCATAAACAGGACAAATAATATTGATAATAAGCAACAATGATAAGAGCTGGACAGTAATGGAAAGAAACGATATAATAAAAAGAGCTGTTGATATTCATTTGGAGGAAAAAAGGTAAGACTGTTAAAGAGGAGCCTCTGAGTGAGAGGCTTTGTCTTGAAGCTGCAAAAGAATCTGAAAACATAGATAATGCAATCAGGGAGGATGAGGGAGAGTATGTTTAAACCAAGTCGGAATCTCATTGTGATTCATACAATGAAGAAGAAAAAATTGAACGTCTAGATGATGGTTTTGATTGACTTCAAGGTTTCATCTTATGTTTTTACACAGCTGGTCAAACTTAACATATTCTCTTTTTGTTCTTCCCTAAAAACCTATGACGTCTAGATGATGGTTTTGATTGACTTCAAGGTTTTATCTTATGTTTTTACACGGCTGGTCAAACTTAACATATTCTCTTTTTGTTCTTTCCTAAAAACCTATGACGTCTAGATGATGGTTTTGATTGACTTCAAGGTTTCATCTTATGTTTTTACACGTCTGGTCAAACTTAACATATTCTCTTTTTGTTCTTCCCTAAAAACCTATGACGTCTAGATCATGGTTTTGATTGACTTCAAGGTTTCATCTTATGTTTTTACACGGCTGGTCAAACTTAACATATTCTCTTTTTGTTCTTCCCTAAAAAACGGTATTTCTGACTGAAGGGTCAAGTTTTTAATGGAAACAAAGCATCATTTCCTCATTGTTGACATCACAAATCACTACATCAAATATTCTTACTACAAACTAGCAGTAATGGTAAATTTAGTAAATCAAAGGTTAGGCAATTGTGGTTAGATAATACTCTAATTCCCCCACAAGTCTTGAAGCACTTCATTTAAAAGGTAGTTTTTTGACGGGTGGTCACCCCCCTAAGCTGATACACGAGGGCAGTTTGTTGCCCTTGTGGAATTTTTTTCACAAAAAGACCTTGATATAATATAAGTATAATATCAGTCAGACAAAATAAAAATGCGCTGACACAAAACCATCCAAAAGCCAGTATACAAACCTTTAAAACTAGAGCTTTATCTCCTTTGAATGCACTATCTTTGGGTTCTTCTATTGACCATTTCCCTAAAATGTTGTAAGGTAGCTATTTGAAATTATTCTTGACTTCTAAAAGATGTGAAACCCACAGGATTTGATACAATCTTGATTGGAATAATGCTATATAACAGATTGCATTGGGACAATATCAAGTTTGCTATTTGGTTTAAAAGATGCCAGACAATGTCAAGTGCAACACTACAAATTCTAAGTCTATGTGGAAAGAATTTGTGTGCTCACTAGAGTAATGTTACAGCATTTTTATGGCAATAAACATTTATCAAATTCCTTCTGTTACTTTATTTAGCCTTTTGAAATATCCCCAATTAATAAGAAAGGGTTTTATGGGACATCTGCAAATGCACATTAAAATTGTATTGCTCATAGATTATGAGAACTTATGATTTGACAAAACCAATGGTTAGTAAAAAAACATCAAATATACATATTTAAAGATTATATTTTGGTCACTATCACTTTATATTGAAATTTTAAACCAAATTGGAACATAAATCTAAACAGTATTTGCTTGCTCAGACATTGGTTGTGCTTACAGAGGTAACCATTCTCCAGACTTTATATACATAAATGAAATAAAAAAAGGAAAAAGTAAGTCTTCTGTCTTGGAATGCATGAGTCTGAGAGATCACTGAGAGCCACACCTCAAATAGAGCTTTTGTATGCTTTGGTAGACTGTTTTCCCCCTTTCTACACTGCCCCCTACTTGCATCGCCACTGAGAACCTAATAATTTGCCCTGTGCCAGTTTTAGGTTTTCATTCAGTCTAGCAGTAATTATGAACACTGATATTGGGGAAACTGCTCCCTTGGCAACTGTTTGAGAAATTGTTTCTTTTCAAACTCTCTCAAAATAAAGAAAGTCTGCAAAGTTCTGAGGAAAAGTTTATTTTATGTTCACACTTTTTTAGCTCTATTTTATTTCAAGTGAGAGCAAAGACTATCACCCACGTAAAATGAAGAGGCTTGCTTTACAAGTTTGAGTATAAGCAGCATATCAAAGATGCCTTTGGTTTAAATGAAACAACATTGTATATATGCATGTAAAAGAATAATTCATTAGAACACCGAGTAATTATTAATGTTACCATCATATTTTGAAATTGCTGCATCAACACCATCCTTTTTAGCTTGAGAAGTGATCCATCTTTAAGTTTAAAGGGAAAGAGAGCTCTATGTTAGACATTTTCTTATACAAAAATATACACCCTTGGGGGTTTTCTTAACAAGATCAATTTGAAGCTGTCTAGCATAGATAAAGCTGCCTATTTCACTCATGGCAAAGGATATCATAATAAATAACAGGGTTTAATTGCAATTCACAACTGATGTAAATCGCTTTTCCAATACTTTCATAATGCCTGAACAATAAATGCAACCTGAAGATATCTTAGCTCAAATAACAGCCATGTATAAATTGGTGTTACTTTTATAGGAAACATGATATTACACAATGTTCAAAGAGTGGATGAAGCATGATAGCATGGAAATGCAAATTAAAATAAATTGTTACTTTTGGAAAAACATGTCTGATAAATTAGTTGACATGTGAGAGTTACAGTCCTGGTTATGGCTATGTAAAAGTAATAGTAATGTTAATGAAGGAACATAATTTTATGTTGAAGAGGACCTCTAGATGAAATACAGACATTATTAACACCTTCAACTATTAACTTTATCAGGACCAAGAATAATCCAAAAAATTAGTGATTCAATGTAAAAAGTTAGACACCTTAACTACCATTTTAAAAAATTTACAGTTTCTAATATACAGTTTGAAATAAATGAAAAATATACTTACTGCTCATTAAACTCTATCTCATTATCAAATGGCTCAGCAATATAGGCAAATCCTTTAACCTCAGGCCTTTTGTACACAGCTTCTTCCTATATAAGAGAAAAATAAATTCTTAATCAACTGGGAAAGTCAGGGCAATTGTGAGCTAAAAGTAAATAAATACTAAAAACCTGGTATCTACCAAATCAAGTAACTTTTGGTATGAATAGTCTAAAATCTGTTGGGTCTCAAATATGGAATAGCTTACCAAACAAAAAATGAAATATCAGTATATTTTACATATAATAAGCTAAGTAAATATCAAATCAAAATAAATAAACAAAAACTTGATTATCCAGATTTTGGCATTTGCTAATCACATCTACTGTATGCCACCTTAAGTCATAGTAGAAAACTTGACATGGTAGCAAACTTGGTAAGTGTTGTTCAGATCGGGGATTACATTAATTGACATCTGTTTCAGGTATATATAGAGTCAACTATAATTTAATTTACCAAACAATTCAATGAATCTAACTAATGCAAAAGAACGACTGGAACAACAGGATCGCAACACAGAACCTGCCATTGGTAATTGTTCCAGCACCAGAACTTAATAAATTTCAGCTATTTCTCTGGCACACAAGCGCATTAACTATATGTGCACTAAAACACTCTGATGCCTGTATACACCCAATATTTATGTCTAAAAATTTTATTCATTATTGACGGATTCTGTGAGCGATGTTAGGCCAGTGCTGAAAGGCTTTTGAAAATAATATATATTCTGTAAGTGTTGGTTGCCCGTATAATTTAACATTATTAACAACCTTATTTGAAACCAGATATATTTTATAGCTTGGTTTTGTCAACCACCACACAGGGCTGTGGCTAGCTATTGCAACCACTGGGGGTAATCTGATAAAATCAAAGATGGTGAACCATCCTTTATTTGGAAACAAATCTTAAAATTTGCCAAGGAAGCACTCCTTGATGGTCCTCGTTTTTACAATGATACTTTCTTCCAACGTGAGCACCACCACAATCGTATCAGGTTGACACCTATGTTTCTGGCAGAGCTGATTCTCTGTACGCTGCTTGCAACTCTAAAAAAACTTGCAACACACAAAACTAAAATCATTCTGAACAACATAAATGTTAGGTCACAGTTTACTTTTAGATCATTTCTTTAAAAGGATTTCTGTGGAGCATTCAAATGAAAAAACAAGCTTGGAGCTACCCAAACAGTTAATTATTTGCCCTTATTCCAGGGCCTCATGCAAAAAAGTATAATGCTCTTGCCTGCCGGATGAATAGCCAAAATTTAATAAGATCTGGTGCCAGAACAATAACCATGGTATTTTCAAACTGCCAGTTTTTTTCATTCACTTAACCAGGCTTGTAAAAGACTGATCTACAAAGCTTAACACAACAAAGAAATTTCGTGTGCAGAGGAATTTGCAATATAAGCCATGGGCTCAGACGCAGGATGGGAAGTGGGGGCTAAGGAAAAATCTAACATTCATAACAAAAGATTTGGAAAAAAACTTTTTTGTTTTCCAAAGAAGAGGAGGGGCTTGGCCCCCCGTTCCCTTTTCGTTTGAGGCCCTCATGTGTTTGATAAGCTATCATATGTTTGAAACTTGAGTTTAAGACGATCATGCTTACAGGCAGTTGCCATCTCAGCAGACTGTTTTGTTTAAAACAAATTCACTATTTCGCACCAACTTTGTTAAATCAAAAAGCGACTGGCCTAATCAAAAGGTGTCGGCAAAAAGTCATTTATCATAGATAGATGAGAGCAGTCTGTCTGTGTCAGACATTCGTCATCCATTGCCTACGATTGTTGCTTTATCCAAAAAAAGAAAGTACAGCTTTTCTATGTAATACCTCAGTTTTCCCTGCTTCCTCGTTCTTGTCCCCAAACAGGCAGCTTGCGAACAGCGCTAGGCCAATGGACAACATCAATATGGGCCGACACATCATGCGGTATAAAAGATTATTACAGAAAATTCACTAGAAAAGATAGTACTCGGATGTTTCTGAGGAATGATTTATATTAGTGAGCACAATTTCCCACTGTTGCTTGCACTCTAAACCATTTCAGTCCTGGCGGGCGACTTGACCTATCCTCTATTTTCCACCGCTTTCGGTTTGAAAAGACAGCTACATAAAGCGTGTGCTCCTCTATACAAAGAGGCTTCGCCTCGTCCTGAAGGTAAGGCCACGCAATTGTTGTGCAGAAAAAATGTCCTTCCCACCTGACAGGTGTGCAACTTATCTTCCGTTCATTTGGTTAAGCTTTGCCCAGAATCAATGGCATTGGTAAAAGACGATACATAAGTAGCTAGTACTTCATTAAATAAGGAGCCTAATTTATTACATACAAGACACCTTATATGTCTGTTTTCGCATATGTGAGCTATGAAAATTTGATATTTTTTACCACAAACTTTTTCATAGAAACTGCCAATGATCATCGTTACGTTATCTAAGTATATACGAAAGAAAAGTGAAACAGGTACTTTTTTCACCAATGAAATCTAATGAAAGAACGGTAAATTAGAAACACAAGATAAATTTTCCTTCTGGTTTGAGCTTTCGAAATAAATTCATTGAAAATAGCCCAAACATTGATAATCCAGATTTGTATAAACCTTTCATCTTAGTATTTTGAGTTTTTCACAAGATTTTATTTTCACTTAACTATTGTTTCATGCCAACAACCTAAAAATTGTATCTTGGAACCTTCTTCAAAAGCACGAATGAGTGGAAAGAAATGTACAAAGATCGCTCCTAGAATTCTACCAGCCAGACCTGCTGACAACAGTAAGATAACATATCAACGAAAAAGAACTTACCTAGTACGGTATCTATTGAATTTTCTAAGATTGGAGCATAGTTAGGTTAACATGGAAACTTTAGACGGTGAACTTGTTTGAAATATTGGTATTTGAAGTAACTTTTCTTCTGAACAGACTTTAAATTCAAGGAGGGACACCTGGCAATGTTCTGTGGCCCTTATACTCTATGCCCATACAAATCTGTATGCATGTTATATCATATAACGCAGGCTTCGTGTCTGGTACGCTCTTTTTGACTGATTTGGCAAGTAACTTGAAATTTCAAAGGAAAATAATTAAAAAAATCAAAGTCTATCACTTCAAAGCTAATTTAATTCCTCTTAACATCATCTCTCTTTTTCAACCATTTAAAATAACTAACAAGTAACAACAACTAGAAATAAACTTAAGTCTCGAGATGTTTATTCATATTTTCAGTACTGTAGTTCCCTAACTAAGATTGAATTTTCACATTTTGATACCTATGACCATAATTTTTGGTTAAAATTCGTTAGCATGTATATCAAAAATGCAATGCAGTTCAATCGAATTTCACATTAAATAAAAATAGGCATTAGGAATTTATCCTGGCATTATAAGAATTTACAATAAAGAATGGTTTCTCATAACTCATGTGATAATGTTTGTTTCACTTCTTTCACAGCGATAATAGTTTTGGTTGGAAATTATTTTGCCAAATAAACACCAGCACGTAAAACGCCTTATCACTTCTTGGGCTTACAGCACTAGGTGAATGTTGGTTTTGAAGCAGCAAGACTACCTGAACCACATCAAATTTAATACGTTCTCATGAAAGATCATTCGACTCATAGATGAGGAAATGAATACTGAATTTGTAGATTTTTTTCATTAAAATGGTAACATTTTCCACAATTTGAACGAGTTCACACGGGCAAACGATAGTATTGAAAAAATTAACGCATCAAAGACAACTAAAAGTCTATTCTAAGAACAAGAACGACCTACGAATTATCTTATGGCTGTTGTATAAGACAAAGAAGGGTTAAAACAGCCTTAAGTAGTGACTAGTAAAAGGTATTAATGGCGACTGTGCACTCGAGAAACTTGCCGTTCAAAATAAATAACAAGAAAAACAACGATGGGGAACGAGCATTAACTTCAAAATTAATCAACAAGCATAATTATTAACTAGATTATCAATAACTGGTTCGAAAAGGACTGACCTTGCTCAAAGAAAGAAATTTTAGCAGGTGTCTAGAGTCAAGTCTTGGAAAAAATGACGAGCTTCTATGGCGTGCTTGTAAAATTAACAAGACGATGGTTAGAGAAATAAAATAATTCACTAGAAAAATTTATCATTTTGATTCGATTTAAAATTTAGGTGAGACCTGATTAAAAAATGGGAGTATAGTGATACAAAAAGGCATGTGTTTGGCTAAAAAGAAGGGGCGGTGTAATCTTTATACCGAAGGATAATGATAAATGGAGATTTCGGAAATAGCAGCTTGTTAATAAACTTGATGATAAGTTACACGACCAATAAAAAGACTTTGTTTGAAACAGTCGGCAACTTGTTATTAGTAGACAAATCAGGTAAATGACGATGTTGACAAATTCCATTGGATAAACAAGACCATAAGACAAAATGACGATGTTTGACAATTCTATTAAATAGACAAATCCATGATATTGACAATTCAATTAAATAGACAAGTCCATGATAAATGTTTCGACTCGATCTAGAGTCATCTTCAGTATAAAATAAAGATTCGTTGTAGAGAGCACCTGGGAATCAACAAACATGGACAAGGTGTTAAAACCCCCAGCCCCTCCTCTATTCAAGTTGTCGACTGTTTCAAACAATGTCCTTTTTATTGGCCATGTTACTTATCATCAAGGAAATGATAAATACTGGCTATTCTTGTATTGAATTCAAACGGATACCATGAATCTCACTCAGTGAACTTTAAAGAAATAAATAGCAAGCAGTTGAAAACTTAAATATAAAAAGTGAACTTAATCAATTCTGAATAATTAACAATCTCCCAAAAGGGGCATAATTCAATATCTACAATTCTACAGATATTAACTAACCAGGGTTGCAAAATGCAGCGTTAGCTTGCTGACCACTTGAGCAACCATGTTCATTATCTACAACGTCAATACCTACTAGACTTCAAAATCACTGAAACCTCGTACAAAATATAAAACTTCTAATATGAATATTTGCATGTATTTATGATCGGTTTAGAAGTATTACTGAAACCTGTTCCATTTGCAATATTCATGTCTCTAGTAGCAATGGCAGCTGACACTTCAAATCCTTGGATTATTGCCAATGTAGAAGTGTATGTCCCAAATAGAAAGCCAACAACACCAATGAGAATTATAAAGATGTCTTTAATCACACTTAAACAGCCAAGACCATGACCCTTGAAAGTTATCATATGAAGTAGCGGTGGGAATATAATAGCCAATGCTGAACTGCTTACTGCTCCCAACAATGAGATGAAGTTTTCCAACTGGGGCAGGCCAATAGCTAGACCACCTAACGAGGAAAGAAATGTGACATGATGTATACAGGCTAAAAATAAATTCTTTAACAAGTATTATGCGAGTATGCTGGAAAAAACCAGAGTTGAATTTAATTTTCAAAAGTAGAATGCTCCTGAACATTTGACAAATTTAACTAGCTTCTTTCAAGCATTTAATCAGATAGTAGGTTGAAAAAGATTTGGACTCATTCTAAACCATTATATTTGTCTGATTTTAAAATGATGTCCTCATAAAAATTTTAATATTGATATTGTCAAAAATACTGCAAAAAGAATTTTAATGATCATAAATTTCAATTTCCAAACATAGTTATTTTTTAATGAAAGAGCTAAAAAGGAGAGCTGAAACAGTAATTAAAACTTGATCTACTTACAGGTGATAAGAACCAGTGTTGCACGAAACAGGTATTCTATAAAATTGCGGTATTTTGAAATACATCTCTTTCGAATTCCAGGTAGTAGGATTTGCATTGGCACATAGAATTGCAAGAAGTAAGTCAGGAACATTGCTAAGGCATACCCAATTTTTACAGTGTCATATAGCCTACAAATTAAATGATAGATAATAAAAATAAAAATTTTCAACCAAAGTAAGAAACTACCACAACAGGCAATGAGTAACTGTTATGAGCAATGAGCAATAACTTTAACAGCTTGAGATCATAACAAAGATTTTAAACACTAGAGATTTCATAAATATACTAGATTGCGTGCAGTACAATATGATGCTATAATAACAATCAATGTAAGTAAATTGTACCAGGAAAATTTTTTTAAAATAAATAATGATGTTTCTAGCATAGCCTGTTATCCAAAAACTAGTTTATAATCTTTAAACACTAGTTTTGAAAATGCTATAATATCAAAAACTTACCAATGGTCAGGAAGATTTAAAGTGACACTCCCTTGAATGTCATATCCAAATGTAAGAAAACCAAACACACCAATGCATAAAAAGAGTGTGGTCACTATGCCCATTCCTAAATTCAAAACCCATCCAAAATCCTCAGGATTTCTCATTTCATTTTCTAAAGGAAGTACCTACAAAAAAGAATTGAAGGCTTTTAAGTCATACTAAAAACCAGTCATTTGATTTAGATAAGAAACTGGATGTGGGAAATAACAAATTTTTGCTAGCAGCAAATTAGCGAAAAAGAAGTTCAGAAATGAAAATTAATGTACAAAAACCACTTACAACTCCAATTCCCTCAAAAGCAAATATGGCAGTTCCAAAAAACAGAGGCAGTTTACTGACACCAGCAAATACTGGAAAATTTTTTGGTTCTTGCAGGCATCTAGCTAAGTATTGGAGCGTGATGATCAGACCCAAAAAGCACAACACATTGGCAGCCATGGACAGGTATGAAAGTGCTTCGAGGCTTCTGATAAATGACAAAACTATGACTGGCAATGCTAGAGCTGCAATGATGATCCTGACATCAATATTTTTCTCAAGCACCTACAAAATCAATAGAAACTTTCATTGTTACTTCAAATAAAATACAAAAGGGCTACAATTGCATCAAAATATCATTGCAATTGCTCTGTCACATTAACTCTAGCCATGCAAATAGAATATCAAATTCAAAAACCTCCTGAAAATTAATCTCCTTTTCAAAATCATAACAAATGGAATTGGCAACATTGTCATAACAAAAGAAAAGCAAGTAGCATTGCCAATAGTTTGAATATTACAACATATCAAATTTAATGAATTTCATTGTTTTGCCAGATAGAAAAGTGAATTTCTACAAGCTTGCTACCAACATACCTGCGTGGGTTATATTGTTACAGTAATTCTTCTGAACTACATCCTTATTCTAGGATTATTCTAGGTAGAGGAAATCTTTGAAAAGGCTTCCTACAAAGTTTTTGAATGATCATCTTTCACATTTTGTTAACATTTTTGTATTTGTATTGGCGCATGTTAATAATTTAATCATCAAATTTAGTTCTTTTTCATTGAAAAATTCAGAATCTCAACGAGAGTTTTTGAAAAGCCATAATACAAAGTAAAAGTAATACAAAAGCTTCAAATAACAATACTTCAGATAGCCCTTACAAAATAATGATCTTGAGGCTTTGATAATCATATTAACACAAATTTATTTAGGCCTGATTGACCTGTGAAAGGCTGGCTAACCCCTGTTGCTCGAATGAAATCAGATTTACAAAAAGGTTGGTGCATACCTTTAATATGTTGTCAGCAACAAACATGAAGTATACTGAGCAAAACCCAAGCTGTGTAACCACAAGGAATGAATTGACAACATATCTGGAATCATGGAATTGACAACATTATACATGAAACAGGTTACATCAAATAATGCCTAAATTTGTTTTGGCATTCTAAATTGTACCTCAAAGAATTGAAGGAAAAAGGAAACAGAAGATTTAAAAAAAATGAGCAATGCTTTGCATACTTTCCATAGATTGACTTTGATTTGACATATGGCCTCAGTGAAGCTTCTGCTACCTCTCCATAGTCAAGTGCATCTAGATTTAACCTGAAGAAAAAGGAAGAATTTTTTCCATTCATAAGTTTTTGAAATGGACAAATATGAAAAAATTGAATCATTCTGTGTGTAAATTCTGTGTGACACTCATCAGAGTATAAAATGTGAGAATAAGGGCCCAAGAACTTACATAAAAACACCCAGTTGTGGATCGAAACAGGCCAATCAGAAAAAAATGAAACACATTACTGGGTATATATCTTTTCAGCCCACATTTCTGATGTTTCATACTCTGAAGATGCACAGTATAAAGTGATTGCTTTTAAAATGTCTGTAAAATGATTGCTTTACAGCGAAACATGCTGTAAAATGATTGCTTTTTAAAAGTCATTTTCAGATTTTGTATCTAAAAGTCTACAAATAGTGGCTTGTGCATACCACCTTGAGTTTCAGCTAATGCCAGCTCATTAAATGCTGGTGATACACTGGTTCATCAAAATTAATTTGTCGTAAAATTAATTTAACGAAGGTTTTTCTATAACTTTGTCATTAAAAACACCAAATGAAAGTTTTACGCTCTACCAACATTTAAACCAAAGCATAAATAGGCTTCTAATTTTGAATGAAATTTACAGCACAGTACCTTCTACATAGGGCATGAGAGCACTTGACAATGAGATGCATGCAATGAACAGACATCAGTGCAATGAAGAGCAATAAGATGGGTCCAACCTATAAAAATGAAATGTGTCAGCTAAAGATGCCAAGAAAAGTAACAACTAACGTAATGCATAGACTGTTAAACCTGATAAACTATCAAAATTTCACTTACATCATCAAGAACCATGGGCATTTGGGTAAATTTTAAGAACTCAAGTGGAACTTTTATAAGAGAGGGGTGTAAAATAAAGAAAGATCTTTATTGCTAGTAAAAAAATTGCTTCAAAACTAGCTCTCTAAAAATAAGTAAATATTGTTTAACTAGGTGGTTTAACTATATTGCAAGTAAACACTCATGAATAAATAGAGTTGTACCAAGGGGGAGTTTATTAAAAATTGGCGTTCATAAACAATGAGCACTCATAAACAAAGAGGGGCGTTTATTAAAGATAGGCATTTAATTGAAAGTAGAAATTTATCAAAAAAACCAGTTTGTAGTGTAATTCCACAGGAAAAATTCTTAGAAAAAATATTATAATATTTCACTTGTGCTGTTATGAAACACAGAGAGGCTTCATTGGAAGGCAAGGTAGTAGTCAACAAAATTAATGTATAAAACTTGACATTAAGTGTCAAATACATTACCAGTATGCCTGAATGCATTATGGCAGTTGGGAGCCCTAAGATTCCTGTGCCAATGTTGCCTTTTAGCAAATGTATTAATGTTTGTAGATTCCTTGAAGAAAAGACTAAATTATTACCAAGAAAATGTATCAAAATATATTATTTTCTGATTTGCATGTATATTTGACTGAATTTTTCCATGTGTTTTTTAATCACAATAGAAATAGACGATGAATTGATGGAATACTTTTTTTTCTAAAATGAAGTTGCAACATCAATTTCTAAGTGCTTGCAACATCAATTTCTAAGTGCTTGCAACATCAATTTTTCTAAGTGTTTGAAACTGGGGTAACATTTCTGCTCACCAGTCAACTATCACTGTTTGCTAGCAGCAATCTAATCTTAAATATCGGTAAAAAGATCAAACCAATAATAAAATGATGAAAATAGCTGAAGCCACATGGATAAGGGGGTATTGTACTGATGCAATGAGAATTTTTAGTAATGATTAAGTTTGGGGTAGGAGGATACGTAGGAATATAATATTGGTTTGGATTAGTGTTTTCATTACAGTTTAAAAAGCGGCAGATTTTTAATGATATCATGAGTATACAATTTTTACTCTTTGTTTTGGAAATGTTTTAATTTAGAAATAGAAAAGTTAAAAAAGGGATGCTTAAAACAAGAAAAAGATTTCAACTTGTACATTGATGATGGTTAGAAGGGCAGTGCTAAAAAAGTTGCAAGTGAAGGAGTGTCCATACTTTTTGTCTATGTTTAACAGGTTTAATACAAATGAACAAGCAGTAATAAATAATACCAAATCTGCCATATAAAAAAACAAAGTAATGTCTACATCCTTCCTTTATAGAAATGTCACTATAAAGAATAATCAGACTTAGAATCATCCACTAATAAAAATAGAGCAACATCAAATATTAAACAACAACTATAACAATAAGATATGGAACACAAATTATCTGTGGGATATGCATGTATGGGGAATTATTTAAAGGAGGAACTATCTCAGTAGCAAAGCTAGTCCAGGAGAGAGGCCCCCTTATAGTATACATTAAGATATTTCAGCACTTCAAAGATATCAAAATAAATAATACCGAAAGTGAAACTCCGATATCTGTAAGTGGGAAGTGAAAAACAGGGTGAAAAATTTCAAACATTAGCTGTTAATGTTTTTTGCAAGCAGATATGACTTCAATTTATAAAGAAAGCAAACCAATGATACAGATTCTTTGATGTCAGTAGGAATACTATTCCACAATGCGGCACCAGAAAAACGGACAGATCTTAAGCCGTATTGAAGTGTGTTTTTCTGAGTTAAGAAAATGTCGTTCTTAGAAGCCTTCCGAGTATCATGTTGATGAATAGACTTGATTGATTCAAAGTACAAATGAAAGCAGACAGGCGATATCCTATTGATACATTCATAGACCTAGGATGGAAGTTTTAATTGAAACAAGTCTTGTAATTTTAAGATTTTTAAGTCAGAGAAGATGGGTGAGGAAGGAGAACAGAAACTTTGTTTTTGTTCCTTTTCTGAAGAGATGTTTAAAGGAATAAATCCAGGAAAAAATATTAAAGCTAGTACTCAATATATGGAATGAATTTACAAATTTCTTCACTATAGACAGTCTGATATTTACAAGCATACTGATATTTGATCTTAAAGGGGGCAACTGCTGCTGCCAAAGAGACTTCAGTTGGAGGCAAGGGTAAAGCAAGACATTTCAAGGCATTTTTTGACACAGGGACCAACTTTTGTCAGTTTGGGGCAGACATCAGCCTAGGTTAATCTTATGTGTCATATGCAGCAAACTTGTTCTCAAATATTTGGTGAGCCAAGTTTACTTCTTAAAATCAATTAAATAGCCGCTAAGGCACTGGCCCTTGATATAGGGGATATGAATATGCCAGTCTGCAGAGTATGGCAGATATTTTTGAAGGCACACCAGAGATATTTTTGTGCAAAACCTGTCACACACCGGGTATTTTTGGGTGTGGCAACTAAGATGGGTGTGGCTTGGTGTGGTCCCATAGAAAATGTCAGCTGATAAAAACAAGCACAGTTGTGTATAAACAATTTGAGATATCATGAATCTTACTTGACAAATATACAAATAAAAACTTGCGCTATCTTCAACAGTATACTTCAGACCCATTTTTAAGGTGAAATGGAAATTCCCAAATTTCAAACACAACAGGGGAAAATAGTCGGGGCACACCAGCAAACCAGACATTTTTGGTGGTGCACACTGGCACACCAGGCTTTTTGCTGGTGCACACCGGAGATCTCGTCGAACAGTGCCATACTATGCAGACTGGTGGATATGGTACATTATATTGAAAGGAGCACACACCGAAAAATGAGTGAAATAACGCAAAGGGTCTATCAATATGGCATAATTCAAAATTTAACAGTATAAAAAAACTTTCCAAAAAAATCATTCAAAAATTTTACAAATAGGATTAGGCTGAACTCCTCAGTAGAACATTATTTATCAAACTTACGTTGTTCCAGGCTGTCCTCCATCGATTGCTATGTCGTAGTTTTCACTTTCGTCACTCAGTACTGATCGAGATTTCGGCCTACCTCTTGAGCGTGACGATTTCGTTGATTCTGTTAGTATGGCTCGGTCTTCAACATCTTCTTGGTCTCCCCCATTGATCGATGGAGCGTCACGAAGGGGTGTTCTGGGTGTCCGTATTTCGGCATTCGAATCGTATCCATCAGGATTAGAAAGCAGGTGGGACTTTTCAGAAGCGTTTTTCGAACTCATTATTGATTTGCCTTTATTTCCTTCTCGGTGACAAATAAACTGCAGCACTGTCACCGTCTGCCAGGATTTGTCAGTTTTTATACCAAAACACGGAAATCAGGATATCATACTTCAACCGGAGCACTACTTCTCCTTCACAGTGGCCCAGTAAAGCCAGTATGTTTGGCTTCAAACATTATATTATATAGTAACGGACAAAGGCAAATACAAGAAATCCGAAAAAAAATTTAATGACCATTTCAAGAAAATGAATAAACACACAGGAATCAGGCTACTTTTGATACAAAATGGTACAATGATGCTCAATTTCGTATTTGCCCCCACTTTTTAAACCTGTTCCTACGCCCTTGACCTGTCACTTCACGACAAAAATCGACTGCAGCTTGTCCTGGTATTGAGTAGAAACGATTTGCTATAAAACACATCAATGATAAGAAATTTTGCAGCATTTCAAGCTTTACATCTGACGATTCCCGTGTTACTTTTGGACCAGATTGTCCTTTGTTGGCTCTGGTAGATTTCGAGGATGAGCTTTAATGAGGCTACCAGCCTATTTCGCGGTTTCAGGCAATACCAAGTTTTGATCCTTGTTTTGAATGCCCAAAACAAGTTTTGTTGACGTTAGAAACAGGTAAAACAATGCCCTCGCCGGTAGGGGAATAATCAAGAAGACAACTGAACAACAAAAGTTGCTGCGATCGATAAAATTCCATGTGCCTGCTGGAACCTATTATAGACGTTGGACTGAAATTGCTGTACGTTTGAGTTCGTACTAAATGAAGGAGTGAGAAAGGAAATTGTGGGGTTTGGGGAGATCGGGGAGCTCTAGGTTTTGACCTGCATTTTAATAGAAAAATCTCTAGATTTGTTGGAAATTTTACAATCATGCCTTGCCTAGGTACCAGATATTCTTAATTTTCTACTAAAGCATTTACCTGGGGAATATTTTCTAGTTCAGTTTAGGAGCCTTTAGGCCAGGGTTTATGAAGCATTTTCATTGTCTTTTGTCACCCACCAACTTTCGCCCTTTCTTTCACCCATAGGCAGGAATAAGTTATAAACATCAAATAGCCTGATTTTTTCCTTTGGTACATTGAAAACAGAAAACATCGAGCATTGAAAAAGAAAAAGAAAAATTGTAAATAATGAAAACGGGAGCGGAAGGAATCATTCGTTTCTTTCATCATATATCCCCTCTTTTCTTCACGACTTTGCTTGATCAACTTGCTCAAAAAGAATTTTCTGGAGGTTGGGGCCACTGAATTTGGTCAATAGATATAGCCAGGGCCTCCAACAAGGGGTAATGCCCCCTGCTTTTGCAAAACAATAGTAGACCAGACGGAAATGGCGGGGAGTACCCCTTTGGGGCGGGGAAATTTTGATTCTCAGTTTCAAGTTCTTTATCAACTGGGAATATTGAATTGTGATGGTAAACGGGGATTTGCTGCTGTTTTCTTAGGGTACCATGGGGGTTAAAACAAGATTAGTTCCTGCTTATCCTCTGCGAAGGAGAAACGTGGCTGGAATGACGTTTTTAACAAAATAAATCTGGTCTAAGCAGTGGAATATAAAAGATAGTTTATCCTTTTTGGTAGAAATACGTTTAAAGTAGTCAAACGAGCTTTAATTTGTCACGTGACGTCTAATTACCCCCACGTCCTTATATGGATATCTTATTAAAAATGTTTCATACCAGGAGAACATACCAATAAGTCAAGCAGCATACAGACAGGGACGTAGTACCACAGAGCAAGTGCAAGCATTCAAACTATTGGCAGAGAAAGCTATCACCACAGAAGACACAGAGTACACTATAACACTAATAGACATGAGCAAAGCATTCGACACTGTGAACAGGAAGACCTTGATTGAAGACCTAAAACATATAGTAAATAAAGAAGAACTGTACATACTATCAAAGATGATCAATGACACAGAAATCCAAGTGAAAATAGATGGAGAAGTTGGACAGCAATTCCGAACAACTGAAGGGGTAGCTCAAGGCGAAGGACTAAGCCCCATTCTATTTACTCTATACCTAGCCAAGGCCTTCAAAGAAGACAGCACAACCTACCCAAGTCAAGATCACAACTACACAAGCAATGCACCAGAAATACATCAACTAGGCTTTGAGATGGAAGAGCAGTATGCAGATGATTGTGGTTGGATACATGAAAATGCAGAAAAAGGAAAACAGAAAATAGAGAAAACCATCACCAGGCTAAAAGACAGAAATCTGAATGTGAACAATGACAAGACTGAGATATTCAAGATTAAGAGAGGTGAGACAACTGATTGGAAAAAATGCAAAATCCTAGGAAGCTACCTTGACACAGAAACTGACTATGAAAACAGAAGAAGATTGACAATAACCGCGATGTCAAAACTGCAACATATTTGGACAAAAGGAAAAAGCATCACCACCAAGAAAAAGATACTATCAAGTTTAGTAGAGCCAATCTTCCTGTACAATGCTGAGCTATGGAACGTCACCACCACTCTAGAAAAGAAAATAGCAGGCTTCCAACATCGAATTCTGAGATGGATGCTAGGAGTAAAATGGCAAGAAAAGAAAAAGAACACAGAAATTGACAAGATTGCTGTTATGACATCATGGGTGGACAAAATCAAAGAAAAACGAAGAAGATGGACGGGTCACATGCTGAGACTAGATGATGAAACACCTGTAAAGAAGGCTTTAAGAGAAGCTAGAAGACCTGGAAGAGCCCATAGGGGAAGAAAAAAGTACATATGGATAACACAAACAATGACCAAAGACTTTAAAGATATGCAGTTAGATGGATGGAATGAAGCTGAAAGAGCGGTGCAGGATCGAGTGTTGTGGCGAAGAACAGTCAAACGAAGCCTGAGAAACTAACTTTTTTTCACTATTTGATGTACACAATGTTGTAAATACAACGGAATGTGTGATTAAAAAAAAAGAAAAAAAAAAAAAAAAAAAAATTAAAAATGAGCAAAGCCAAATCATCTCTTGACATCGGAAATTCATTTTAGCATGCAATTGACTATCAAAACTTTAAGAAGGGACTGCGTGGTACTAAAAGGGACTTTTTATAGTTTTTGTAAACCTACATTTATATTATTAATTCGTCTTAAAGAGTATTACTATGCTAATACAGATAAAATCAAGAGCTAGAGCTACAAGTATGAATGATAGGTAGGAACAGCAGAAACGACGAAAAACAATCTATTACAAATCAATAAAATAAAATAAACCAAAATTTAGCAATAAAATATAATTTTGATAGAACTTAATTTTGAGAGACCTCCCTAGGAAACAAAGACAGAAGGCGGAGTTCGGGTGCGGTTCTTTAATTGTCTTTATTGAGCATCTTCTTGGTCTTTGACCGTACAGGTTTTATTTCACTCTTTTTTATAAGAATGCTATAAATTTTCTCCATCCACAATATTCTTTCGAAATTTTCGCTTTGAGCCTGAATGTATTCTTAAAGTATTCCTTCTTTTTCAAATCTGATGTGGTTTCGGGTAACATTGCCAACCCTCGAAAAGAAAGCCACGCATTTTGAAAAAACGAGATATGTCTGTCATGCGATTCTCTGTTATGAACATCGCAATACAGACAACTGCTGAAAGTAAGACACTAATATGCGAGCTGAGGGTGAGCAATTTCCTTATAATATTCTTAGAAATTGGAGGATTCTGAGCCTGAATATTCTTATAAACAATATTCTTATAACAATAAAGGTATTATCATGAAAAAGCAAAAGTAATTACAAAATAAACTTTATTGCTAAATAAACTTGAAGGCAATCTACATCTGTAGTGTGGGTAGAAAAGCGGATTCACTTAGACTTCAATTGATTTTCGTTGTTGTTTGGGTCCATTAGTAGATCTAACGAGTATGATTAAGTGTTCTTCTCACCAGCCATATAAATGCCGGTTGAAATGTAAACAAACGTTTTATACAAAAAACTAACATTTTAAAGAATGCTAAAGTTTTTCTTCTGCACTCTTCTGCACAAGTTTAAGCATCTTTTAAAGCGTTTGTTTCTGCAAAGCAATTGTTTGAAAGTGGACAGCAAACAACAATAAAAGGACATTTTTAGCAGAATTTTCACTCGCACTTGTGCATTCAACATAACTGCAAATCTATATTTTTACTTTTTTTTACTACTTTGCCGTAACGGTACGAGCAGGCAGACAACTCACAAAATTAACATTGTTTGTTACTTCAATGCAAGTGGTACTTCAATAAAATATTGTTTGTTTATAACTTGCTTACAACTAATTTACAACTAATTTACAACTTGTTTACAACTTGTTTACAGTTGAATACTTGTTTTCCACCTAAGTCGTCTTCAGCCAATCAACAAACGTGCAAAGATCATTAATTAAACTAGAGCAACGATTCATTTCGATATAGTCAAACGTATTCGACAAATTTATAAATAGTGAGGCTAACAGAAACCATATAATATTGCATTTGAAGGCTTTGAAAAACCCGTTCGTGTACCTTTAAACTATTAGGCTATTTACCTTCACACTATTAACCTTTAAACTGAACTTATAGTATAGTTACGTCTATATTTATTGTAATTAGTATTTCTTTTAATGTAAATAGTTGGTCTTAATTAGTTCAAGTTAGAACTATCTTTATTTCAACTAACTGGAAATAATGTTATAATAATAATAATGATAATGATAATAGACTAGATCTATCACTGAAGAATGGATTTGAAAGAATGACGAAAATGCAGTTTCTCGAAACTTAATTTTCCTTCTTATCTTACTTTTCCTGGTTATTAACTGCAATCAAAATAATTTGACTTGATAATTTCATGTTAAGGAGAGAAATGGTAGCAGTAGCAGATAAAGAAAAGCTAATAAGATTCTAAAATAGAGTTAGGTTTAGCAAATGTATGCTCAATTTTTATCTGTGCAGGAGGACGGGATCTTAATATAGATTTTTAAAACCATCTCCACCTATTAATTTGCATAAACAAAGATACGGCTGTATCAATCATATGATTCTATCCAATTATATCGTAAATGCAATTTAAAGTAAGGAAATATGGTGCTCCTCAACGCTCATATCTAGGTCCACTTCTCTTTATTAATTGCATTCATAGAATAGAAAGCATTTATTTATAAGTTCTACGAGCATTTGATTTAAAATCTTTTATGGAAAAAATGAAGACCTTGATACAGGGCAAATAAGTCTAAAGATGAGATATATATTTGAATGACGATCTGTTATAATCATAATTTTGTAAATGGAGCTACTTTTTCAATGAGTGAAATAGCGTAGCAAAAAATCAAAAGCTGATAACGTAGAGGGAAATTTGCCATCAATTGGGCGCATCGGAATTGTAAAGGAAAAAAGTTTACCGTCTGGTCCGTAAAAAATATTGAGACCTCTTTACCGATGGGTACAATGCATGAAGGAAGACAAACAGGGCACCTTTTTTCTTTCTTGCCGCTTATCAAATAAAGTAACGGGGAAAGTAGCATTCTTGATGCATATGTGGCATTGGTGGCACGAGGGGAGGGCTAGAGGGATATAGTCCCCACATCGGAGGGTGATAGCCCCCTCCCCCTTCGTTGAAGCTTCAAATCAAACTTGCTACTGTTAGCCTGAGAGAAGGAAGATATTCGAGCCAGCACCCTCGTTTTAAAAACTTCTGGTGCCAACCTTGATGAGGAAACAAATATACGGTACCAAAGTTAAAATCACAGTCCCTTAATCTAGGAATAAAAGAAGACATACTTAAAGCAGCGTTTTACAGTTGATATGGTTAATTTATAGGAAATAAATATCTTTGTGCGAAAGTAACCTTCCTTACCAAGTTGTTAATTTTCAAGCAATACAACGTTTGCGTAGTTTCTTTTTCTGGTCTGGAAACTCGCATTCTCCCTATCAAAATGCGCAATACAGTTGAAATACTAATGTTCAAAACATTAATTGACAGATATTATCGCAACTGTTAATAATACTTCAAAAGTATGTATATTTGTGAAGCAAATCGGTCGGCGTTCAACAGAAAAAGGCAATATTATGAGAAATGCCGGTTTAAACAGCCTTTCCCTAGTCCGGGTTGAAACAAAAACAGGCTAAAATGCATCTGCCTTTATAGTAGTTCAATGAAAACGCCAGCTGGCTTTAAGCCCGTTGTAATCCGTTTTTGAACGTTTCCACTGAGCTGGGTAAAACTGTACCCAAGCTTAAGATGAATCCTCAGCCCTCTACAATTTAGATTGTTTTAAAAAGAAACCAAAGAAACCAATTTTTGTACAATGCTGTTGTTGTTGTTATTGTTGTAAATGGATCAATAGTTTTCCGGGTTTGGCGTTGTCACTAGCCCACAGGTGGGTTAACAGATATCCGGGTTAAAACTGATCCACTCGGAGGCCCGTTTTTAAACTTGTCCGTCTTTCAAGTAGGTTAGCGGGAACGCAACGCAAAAACGGTTGACCGCTTTTGTTTTAAGCTTTGTTAGTGAAAAGGCTGCCTAATTTTACCAATTGCGATCGCCTAAGACCAACGTTTGGTTACGTCAACGCAGTTGTAAAACTATAGAACCATGTCACAAAAAATTCTCTGCCAAAATAGAATCCGTCCCCCCAACATTCCCAGTACCCCCGTGTCTTCACCATTGTATAAACCGTCTTTACAAAAGTGCACCAATTTAATAAAATGCACTCAATAAATACACATACTGATACCATTGCTCGTTAACCTCGTTAACCTCGAAATATTTTGTTGAATAAGCAAACACCAAGACATCTACACCCCTCATGTTTACTTTTAAAATATCTTCTTGGAACTCAGATAACCTTTTTCCGTAGCACAGTTTAAAACTTTCTAGATCATTGTGATTTTGACATAGCCATATTCACTACCAGTATTTCCACCTGTGGTTGCAAGACAATTAGTGCCACCGCAGAATGATCCTCCACCTCCGCCAGCTGCATTATTATAACCACCAGTTCCTCCACCAGAATAGCCCCCACCACCGCCTGAAGCACCATTGTCTTCAGACCCTCCGCCTCCACCACCAAAGCCACCAACTGCTCCAGGTGCAGGTCCCCCATTATTTCCTGAATTCATTTTTCCAGCCTGTCCACCTACCCACCCTTGAGATATCCCTCCGCCTCGTTCTCCATGTTCCAAACCAGCTCTGCTACCACCAACACTGTGCCACCCAGCACCTACACCTCCATGGTAGCTACCAGTGTTGCAGCAACCGCCTGCATTGCCCGATGTTCCTCCTGCTCCTAAAGTGCTACTTGATCCAACTGCAGCAGCCCCACTTTGTCCAGCCTGACCGTTTACACCATTCCATCCAGCGGTAGCACCTCCTCCACCTCCAGCAGCTATGTAAAGTACGTTTGCTGTTGAATAAACAAATGACCCACCTCCACCACCGGTACCTGCATTGTCTTCTATTGAACTTCCGAGGGAGGCTGCTGTGGCGGTTGTTGCTTGGCCACCTTGGACCTCAACTGAATTCCCTCCTCTATGTCCCACCACTATGTTCAGTTGAGTACCAGCCGGGAAAAAAAAGTCACCTTGGGTTTTAGCACCATATCCACCATAGAATGTTCCTTGGAAATAAATTGATACGTATCAAAGATAGAATCAGAGATACGTTCAGCATATTCAAGGACCAAAATACCAGGGAGCCAGGGGGCCTTGCCGCTCCCCCGAAAAATTTAGGTAGCATAAGTAAAATACTTCTATTGCGTTTAGTATAAGCTGTTGTCACACTTTCATATCAGGGCTGCCCCCCCCAAAGCAAAAGGTTGTACCTCGGTCTTTGCCAGCGTATAATAGTCAGCACTCTAATGATTTAAGAGCAAATGAAGAACAATCAGTCTCAAATTTAAGTAACTTGTTCTAATTTTTCCATAAACTTCTTCACAAAACGACACCCTGAATTAAACAGTCCATATTTTTGGTATCGCAGATACGTCTCTTCTTTGAAACTAAGACCCTGCTACCTCTAGATCCCAGAAATAACAATATGCTGTAAAGATTAAAAGGGCGTTCACTAATGACAGGGAAGCATTTATTCGTGATACAGTTAGCATTTATGGTTTGTTTGTTTTGTAGAAACATAGTTAGAGCAAATGAAGCGGGGACGCTTTCATCTAATCATAGTGGAATGAGTTTATCTTTACCTGGATAGCTGCCATAGTTTGTAACATGTTTTCCTCCCCTCGCTCCTCCGGCTTCAATTCGATATGATCCAGTCTGCAGTACCGTGTATTGTTGAATGACACCACTTCGACCAGTGTAACCGTTATTTGAAAACTGTGTTGACGGAGGGATGCCTTGAATTAGAGTTTAAAGATTCCTTAGAACAAAAATGAGCACATTTAAGCCGAAAAGAGGTTTATGATTATACAGGTAGTTTTTTCAAGGAAGACAATATAAAACACCCTTGAAATCCCTAATTAAACTAATTTTCTTTGTAGAAATTTTTCTCTGACAAATTAATGTCCAGCAAAAAATTAAAAGAAATCATCTCTTACTTGTGGCACAGGTTGTTCCACCGTACCCAGCAGCACACTGGCACGTATACTGGTTCACTTGATCAGCGCAAGTTCCACCATTCTGGCAAGGTGAGCTGGCACATTCATTGATGTCTAGAAAGAAAATTCAAGCATTGAATAAACCGAGATAAAGGAAAACTATGATTTGATATCTTCATTCAAGTTTACTTAAACAAAGAAATTGAGCAAGTTAATATTTCTTACTTGTGGCACAGGTTGTTCCACTGTACCCAGCAACACACTGGCACGTATACTGGTAAACATGAGTGGATACTTTCTGTTAGGTTTGCCCATAAAAAAGAAAAAAAGCAAGTCAAAACTTCTTACTTGTGCCACAATTTGTTCCACTGTACCCGGCAGCACACTGGCACGTATACTGGTTCACTTGATCAACGCAAGTTCCACCATTCTGGCAAGGTGAGCTGGCACATTCATTGATGTCTAGAAAGAAAATTCAAGCATTGAAAAAATCGAGACAAAAGGAAAAAATGAGTGGATTTTTTCTGTTAGGTTTGCTCATAAAAAGAAAAAAAGCAAGTCAAAATTTCTTACTTGTGCCACAATTTATTCCACTGTACCCGGCAGCACACTGGCACGTATACTGGTTCACTCGATCAACGCAAGTTCCACCATTCTGGCAAGGTGAGCTGGCACATTCATTGATGTCTAGAAAGAAAATTCAAGCATTGAAAAAACCGAGACAAAAGGAAAAAATGAGCGGATACTTTCTGTTAGGTTTGCTCATAAAAAAGAAAAAAGCAAGTCAAAACTTCTTACTTGTGCCACAATTTGTTCCACTGTACCCGGCAGCACACTGGCACGTATACTGGTTAACTTGATCAGCGCAAGTTCCACCATTCTGGCAAGGTGAGCTGGCACATTCATTGATGTCTAGAAAGAAAATTCAAGCATTGAATAAACCGAGATAAAGGAAAACTATGATTTGATATCTTCATTCAAGTTTACTTAAACAAATCTTACTTGTGGCACAGGTTGTTTCCACTTACCCAGCAACACACTGGCACGTATACT